TTACATTAAAAGAAAAAAAAAGAATATTGTAAACTTTATAAATCATTTGTTTAATATCAAACTTTCCCGAAGGAATCCATTCAATTGCCAATCTGTCATATGAATGCACATATTGCCAATAACTGGAGGTAATATTTGGGATGATATTTTCATACACGGCAAAAACATTATTACTGAAGGGAAAATATCGACACATTTCTCATAAAATATCCAACAGAGTAAACCTGTAAATTTTTCTGACAGAACACATTTTATACATAATGCCATCTGTTCGGGTATTGATTGGGTCCTCCTGAAAATCATTAAAAGTATAATATTGAGGGAACATATAGATTGACTACCAGACCATGCCCAGCTGTGGACAACCATTACAATTTCCAATGTAATGAAAGATGAACAGATTAAACATCCTTGATGGTAAATTATCATGATTAATGGTGATTGACAGATCGAGATAGTACATAGTAATATTAAAAGTAGTAGGTATGCATGTGTTATGACTGAAGAGTGAACAAATAGTGAGCAAAAAGAAGGTAAATCATGATAAACTCAGAGCAAATCCTGGTGGAAACTTTGTGAACATGTACCATTAAATTAAACAATGATAGAGTGAACAAAGAGCAAAAATAGAGCAAAGAAAAAGGACACTAATTTTAAGCAAAACAAGAGGCCCATGGGCCACATCGCTCACCTGAGTAACTTTGGCCATGCTGTTCTTTACCAGATTTCCCCCTTGTAATACTTATTGTGGCCCCGCCCTACCCCCGGGGGTCTGATTTTAACAATTTAAAATCTACACTATCCCAGGATGCTTCCACATAAGTTTCAGTTTTTCTGGCCCAGTTGTTCTTGAGAAGAAGATTTTTAAAGATTTTTCTTACATATTTCAATGTAAAATTTGGATTCCCTATTGTGGCCCCGCTCTACCCCCGGGGGTCATGATTTGAACAATTTAGAATCTACACTATCCTAGGATGCTTCCACATAAATTTCATCTTTTCTGGCCCAGTGGTTCTTGAGAAGAAGATTTTTAAAGGTTTTTCCTTTTTATTTCAATGTAAAATTTGGATTCCCTATTGTGGCCCTGCCCTACCCCCAGGGGTCATGATTTGAATAATTTAGAATCTACACTACTCCAGGATGCTTCCACATAAGTTTCAGTTTTTCTGGCCCAGTGGTTTTTGAGAAGAAGATTTTTAAAGATTTTTTCTTATATATTTCAATGTAAAACTTGGATTCCCTATTGTGGCCCCGCTCTACCCCCGGGGGTCATGATTTGAACAATTTAGAATCTACACTATCCTAGGATGCTTCCAAATAAATTTCATCTTTTCTGGCCCAGTGGTCCTTGAGAAGAAGATTTTTAAATTTTTTCCTATTTATTTCAATGTAAAATTTGGATTCCCTGTTGTGGCCCCGCCCTACCCCCACGGGTCATGATTTGAACAATTTAGAATCTACACTACCCCAGGATGCTTCCACATAAGTTTCAGCTTTTCTGGCCCAGTGGTTTTTGAGAAGAAGATTTTTAAAGATTTTTTCTTATATATTTCAATGTAAAACTTGGATTCCCTATTGTGGCCCCGCCCTACCCCCGGGGGTCATGATTTTAATGGTCATGATTTTAACAATTGAAAATCTACACTATCCCAGGATGCTTCCACATAAGTTTCAGCCTTTTTGGCCCAGTGGTTCTTGAGAAGAAGATTTTTTAATGACCCCACCCTATTTTTGTCTTTTCTTGATTATCTCCCCTTGTAAGGGGACTTGGCCCTTTATTTTAACAATTAAACTCCCCTTCACCCAAGGATACTTTGTACCAAGTTTGGTTAAAATTGGCCCAGTGGTTCTTGAGAAGAAGAATGGGTGATCAGAAAAGCTCACTTGAGCTTTCAGCTCAGGTGAGCTAAAAAGGAGCAAACTTAAAGAATGCAAACACAGTGGAGTGGAGTAAATGCCTGCATGGGTGCAAACTGGTGTTCAAGGTTTTGCCAGTGGGTATAAAAATTAACATAAATCAATATTTATTTAATGACATAAAATTTAAAAACATTGTGATCTTTCAGAGTCAATCTGGAACCTATCGTAAACAATGCAAACCAACACCTTTGCTGATGAGCAACACCTCATTGATGAAGGGATATCAATGGATTCATGAATATTGCAAAAGACTCACATTTATTTTCCTTTGTTATACCAAAACTCCATAAATTTAAATTAGTAGCAGTAAAATAACGTCAACTTCAATCTATTAACTTTGAGATGTTTTACTGATCCAGGTAATTTAAATGCTCTGTTATAACAATAATGTAATGATTGATACACAATACAGACTGATACAGATATATACTGTACACTATTCATAAAGAAGAAATTTTGAACCTGAATTGACCATTAACATGATTAAAATCCATGTGAAGTTTGCATCTTACTGAAATGTTGTTTTTTGTGGAGTGTCATGATTATATGCTTTGAAATAAGGGGGTTTTTTGGTGAAAAAAGTTTTTTTTTAGGCTTGGAGCCTTATATATAGCCAGTTAATACTCACAGTTCACTTTCTTAGGATGAAATTCTTCAGAATCACATTTCTCTCTTTAACACTTTTAACATTCCAGTAAATGAAGTTTAGTTCATTCTACCCTACCTATACTGGATTCCTAAATGTCATAAAAATCCTTACAAAGAATCATATAATATTTCTAGGATGTAAACATTTTGAACATATCTTTTTTCAGATTAAAATCAGTTCAAATCTAAGAAATAAAGAGACATATTTATGTCAAATAGAAGCCTGGTGGATGTATTTATGTCTTTTTTTTTTTTAATCCCAACTAAAACTGATAAATTTTATAGTGTCTTGATTTAACTGTATTGTCTAAATTTTTGAAAGTGTATTCTTCCTCTTCAATGAACATTAATACTTTTTCAGATTAAAATCAATTCAAATTTAAGAGTTGAAGAGTTAAAAACATTTATGCCATACAAAAGCATGGTTGGTGTTTTTTTTTCTTCTTTTTCATCAATATTAAAACTGAATTATTTTTATAGTGTCTTGATGTACCTATATGTCTCTAAATATTTGAAAATATAATTCTTGAACATTCATCAAACTAATGCTTTTAATTTAAAGTCTTATTACTACTAGTTAAGGACCTTGCAGCACTTAAATAAACATACCTGGTACAATCAAGCAATTACTTACCTCAGTAAACATATCTCAAAATGACAGTTCATATTAAATTTCTTATCAGGTAATTAATCAACTGCCCAGGTCCTCATATCTCGGACATGAACAACATATTCTTGGACATTGACATCATATACAACCCACATACCCAGTAATGTTATTCACATTATTCACAATCTGCCTTAATTTGCTTAAAAATGACAAAGCATAAATTAAAAAAAACAAACTATAAAGGAATATAAATATATCCACACAGTGTGAAATTATCATGCATAGCAATAAACAAACATTCTAACCCCAAAACCTTAATGGGTAAAATGTGAATTGATAATTTCTTTAGGATTATACAGAAAACTTTCAGGCTGAGCAATTAGTTACTGAAGCATTCTAATGTTAACCCTGGAATGCCTTGCGGCTAAGAAGCTTCATTGAAAGTTCACTTTGGCTAGGAAAAAATGATGATGTTATCACAGAGATTACAGATGAGAACATGTGATGAGAATATACCCTCGGAGAGACAGTCTCGAGATGAAATCAATAGAGGGCTGTAAAGTCATCACAGTGCAAAGAAAAACATACACTTTAGACAATGGTCTGATGATGTTGAATTTTAGTCCATTACAGAAATTGCAGCATTTACTATATAAAGTGGTACAGCTGTGATTAGATTAGTGGAATATGAGAACCCCTCAGCATCATATTTGCACAGTTTATATTGATGGTGGAACAAGCTAGGAGGTATCTGATGCCCGCAGTTGGCAGGGAAGTCTTTAGCTGGGTGATCAAACAAATTTTGTCCAATAATCTTAATTGACAAAACGAGAAGCTTTAGAAAGTTCTTTAGGCAGAGTAAAAAATCTGTTAAGTGCATCAGGATAAATCAATTTACTTACAATATAATATTGATCAAAAGCAACAGTGGAAGAGAATTTCACAATGAAATCAGTACTGTGAATATTTCTGCAAGGACTTTATCTGATGGAGTGAATGCTTCAGGGAGAAAAGAAAACATTTAGAAACTACAATACTTATCTGATCTTTTTGTTCATCAACTATGGATAAAAGTTTCACATAATCCTTTTGTAAGCATCATTCTAACTGGATATAGACAAATTAGCGGAAGAGTAAATTTGATAATTGTCGTAAATATCACCGTTTTTTAATCTCATGAATGAAAAAAGAATTATAATCAGGAATTCAAAAAACAACTACTTTAGGAACTGAAGTAAGGATAACTACTGTAATTATGCTGGGATAATAACCAGAAATTAATTAATGTGCTTCCATTTGACTAACCTTTTTAATCATTTCTAACGTAGACTAGTGAGTGAAAATTCAATCCTTGGTAGATAGAATCAAGACAGTGTCAACTGGATGCCTTCATTATCTGGGGTTTAAATCTCAGATCAATGATATTTTAATACAGGCTTGGTGCGTCACAGTATAGTACTGTAGTGACACGAGACCTTTATCTTTGCTGTGTCTGTGCTAATAACTGAAGTGTAGAACTTTCATCAATCCTTAATTGAAGCTTGTTGAACGTATCTCCAAAGGCATTTTATTGAACTCTGAAATTTACTTGTGTGGACCATCATCTCATCCACTGCAGCTATTTAAAATTGTTTTCAATGAAAGTAGTGTGATGTAATTTTTCCAATACTATATTGACTCTCATGCTTTTAGTCACTGCAGTGACAGCAAGAAATGTATACCACAGTGCTCTCTCCTAATACAAATCAATACAAAGATCGTACATATATATCTCCCCCTGACGATCTCGTCGTAGGCTACTCTACCTCCTATTTGGATGTTTATACTACAGGATATTGCAGCTAGAAGAAAACTCCCAGTATCTATGAAGTTAATTCAATGAAATAGTGAAGATTTCAAGGATTTTCCAATGGAGCTATACTTTTAGGGATTTATACATGTACAACAGAATTTAAATTTAAAAGTGAGTTGCTTTGAGATTGGAATTAATTTGTGATCAAGAATAACAAGAGGTTTCTTAACTACTCCATCATTAGAGAAATGGCCCATCTTTTCTGTGTGTTATCCATTTCTGGGCTATTGCCTGCAGGACCGGATGCTCCTTAAGTGGTTGTATCTGCATCAGTTAAGCTGGTTTCAATGCAGGAACTCTGATTAATAGGAAAGCACATGCAACAACAACTGAATGTTTATGACAAAGGCGTGACAAAGTAACAATTCTACCATGCTTAAGCTTGGTTATAACAGCAATCACACGAACTGCACCTAAGTCTGAAACAGCTATATTTCATGACAACTGAAACATTTTAAGAAGATAGCAATTTACCCACACATGGTTTTGTTTGGACAATCAATGTAAAAAAAAAATTCAATTAGGAATCTGATGTTGTGTATAAAATATAATGTCATTTAAAATGGAGGAAGGCAATGAGACAGTGAACTTAACAACAACACAATTCATACAATCCGATGTTTCAGTGAGATTGGAGCTGTATTCCTGGATATTTTCTGTAGTAGTTCTGTGTTTGTCTATCCTTCTAGGAACCAGTGGGAACATCCTTGTTATCACTGCCATGTGCAGGAATCGACTCTACAGAAAGGTACGGTATGCTCTTCTCCTTCTATTAATGGCTGTCGCTCTCTTCACAGACCTTGTATACTGTCCAGTTGAACTGGTGAGGATATTTCTGTATTCAAATTCTGACAACTCATGGGTGGATCTGAAGTATGTTTCCTCCAGTATGTATTTAATCGTCTTTTCTGCCATTTCTTGTGTTTTGCTATTCATCAGTTTGAAGAACCTCTGCATCATAACTGAGAAATTTACACGCACTTACAGGTATGCCTTGTGTGCATTCTGTGTGATTACAACTCTTCTAGTTATTCTCTGTCCAGCTATTGGATATGGCATACTCTCCAACATGGACGAAGAGAAAAACGGTTCATTTACACCTTATCATATTCTGAATGAAAGAGCCTTCCTCTTCAGAATCACATACTTCAGCCTGTGGCTCATGATTATCCTCTTTGTTTTGGTGGGGATGATTTCTTTTATGGTAGTCACATACAGAGCAAAGCAGTCAGACCTTGATCTATCATCAGACTTCTCTCATCCTCACACACCAGACAAAGCTATAATTCCTAAGGTGCTTGTTAAAAAATCAGAAAATTCTCTTCATTCTGATGAGGAGGAGGAAGAAGAGGAAACTGGAAATCGGCTCCTGGATTCCTGTTCTGGAAAGGAAGACAACACTTCAACAATTGGAGATCTACCCTCTCCATCTAGATCCAAAGGTAGCCACTTGGGTGTTAATATGGCAGCCTACTTAGGCAGAAGGAGACACACAATAGGTCAGATAGGAACAACAGGGCTGGAAACAATGGAAAAGGCAAAGCAATATAATTATGTTCGTAAATTTTCTGTGGACATTCAAGCACTGCAAGCACAGTTAGAAAATCCAAAGAGACATGCATCAGACTTTCCATTTTCTTCCGATACAGAAATTCAAAAATCTCTTCAGAAATCAAATAATAAAGAAGACATTTTAAAGAGAATCCGACTTGCTCAGCAATCACCACTAGTACAAAACAACAAAACTTCCGACTGTGAGAAAGAAACAAATAGTGATTCCAGCAGTAGAAATAGTGAAAAAACTTCAAATGAAGTACTGCATGAATTACCTCCTCTGTTGACACTATCAGAAACAATGGCAGATGAGTTTAGAGAGAGAGCACAAGAAAAGGACCCTTCAGCAAGTTTTATAAAGCTCTCTTGCTCACTTGTTTTAACATTCCTTTGTTTCATGTTGCCTATGTTCATAACAGAGACCCTCAAAGAATTAATATCTTTAACAGCATACATCAATGTACTCTCATCTACCTTAGCACTGTCTACAGTACAAACCCTCATCTTCCCTTTGATTATCCTATTTCTAGACAAATATGTGCACAAATGTTTTCAGAAGATGGTCTCTACACTTCGTATGAAGTGCTTTGGATTGTGTTACCAAAGAGAGGCTGTACCAATGTCTAGTCATGAGGAAGAGGACATTTCAAACACACAAGTCTAAGGTTTTACAGCTTAGCATAAAACTACCAAACCTCTCTAACAGAGTGACCTAGCTAATGATTAAACATTAGAAAGGTTGCTGGTTACATTTCAGTAAAACATTGACTAGCTAATTTATCAAAATCAATATGACTTTTTAAAAACTAATGAATAAAGGTTATTCAGTCTTCAGTACAGGAAAGTATTAAATGAATTATTCACAATAGTATCAAATATTCCAAGTGAATTAGATGATCATGTCTATTCTTTTTGATAAATTTGGGTTCTTTAGTACAAAGACACTGAAGTTTATAAAGACATTAAATATTCATATAAATGCTCAAATTAAGTCTTAATATGTTGGATACTTGTATTAATAATATTTTTAAATGAAGCAGTATTCTTCATCAAGGTTAGTGTTAATTTTACCCTGATATATTTACCCTAAAAAAATAAAAATGACTGAATGGAGAATTATATATATAATCAACAAATTCACAAGTATAGTTTTGAAAATATCAAAAGCAGGTTTTACAGTGTATTTGTCATTAATTTTGTCTTCATGCAACCAAATGTGAAATTAAAGGCTATAAATATATAAATTAAATACATGTAAACAGCTCTCAAAAATGTTCTACTATCCTATATGTTAATAAAGAGCAAACGCAGAGTGAATGCAGGGAACAAAGTGTGAATAGTGAATGAATGATGAGTGAACCCTGAACAAATCCTACAGGAGCTTAAATAATGAGTGAACATTAACATTAGGGCTGGGTATCGGTTGGGAATTTTGTATTGCAATATTTGGAACTGTATTGCGATATGTATTGCAATATTTTAAATAACAGTTAAAATGCTCTTATCTTATTAACTGCCTTTTATAAGCAGAGTGTATATAACTTTCATAAATACGTTGCAACAAAAAAAGTTCTAGTTGATTTCACTACAGTTTGGCAACGGAATGCAACCACACAACAAAAACCTTCACCGTTTGGAACTGTTTGGCATGATTGAAAATGTTTATGACATCTTAAATTTCAAATTTTACTTTATAAATCTAAAGCCTAAGCATTTTACCAGTATATCGGTACTGGAAAAACGTACTGCAATACAATATTTTTTGTTAACGAATCACAATATACCAGAATATCGATATTATTGTGCAGCCCTAATTAACATTCTAATTAGTTATGCTCTGTTAAGATATATTCTTTAGTTTTAATTCTATTTCTAAACAAATTGTTTGTTTGTTCCTTTTTTTTGATTGATCATTATGTGTAACACATGCCATTATATTCCGAAGTTCCTATGTATTGATTTCTGTGATTAAAAAAAAACATATTACTTCAAACATGCATGGTCTTATGATCATTTTTTCTTTTGCACGCTGTTATTATGCATCTTGTGGACATCATTTTGTCATATACATTTATAATACATGTAATGTATTTATTACAATATATTGTATATTATGTACAATAATAACTGTCATATACATAATTTACCAGATTTGAATGTGTGGGTTTATTCTACTAAAAGAGTGATTAAAAAAAGAAAAGAAGAATTCAACATATTTATTCATTCATGCATTTTAAATATTTTCCTTTGTGACTATAGAATTTTTGCAGATTTATTAATTAATTAATTTATTTACATTTATTCTTCATTTGCTTTTTTTATCAGCAGCTAAGGCCATCTTTAAAATAATGTGTGTTTGCCCTCTCCTGACTACAGATTCAAGGAATTGGGTTGGTAGGTAGGTGGGAAAATTTTTTTCCTAGAAAATTTCAACACACTTATTGAAAGGATAAAAAAATTTAGGAATAAAAAGAAAAAAAATTATCATTTCCTGCAGGTTAAAAAAGTTTGGAGTCGGGCCATTTTTAGCCAGTCGGTCAGGAGAGGGCAAACAAACAATTTTTTAAAGATGGTCTAAATTTGTTTAGTTTATACCTGAATAATTTAATTTTAGTTGTATCACATCATTTGATTGGATAAAAGATTTTGTTTATATCGTATAACATAAGTTGCCTACGTCACAATGAGTTACGTCAAAAATGTATTACTCTGTTACTTTTAAAATATGTTCAATTTGAAGCCATTTTTGGAGGAAAAAATTTTCTTATTGTCTACTCTGAAATTAAATTATAAGGAATGAAGCTTATTTTAACCTATGTTATACAATATAACATAACTTGGGGCATTTTAAGCTTTTTTTATAAACCACTTTGTGGTTTATAAAGCCTAAACTGGCCCAAGTTATGTTATATCGTATAACATAGGTTTAAATAAGCTTCATTCCTTAAATGTAGTCTGAGTAAATGGTAATTGAACTGAGAGCAAATGATGAGGAATGAGCATATAGATGGAGCAGAGTGAATGCAGAGCAAATACTAAAACTGCAAAATAGAAAGTAAGCTAATAATGGAGAAAAACTCTGAAAAGGGGTAGTAGAACATTTTGGGAACTAGCTGTTACAAAATTCAAATTCACCTTAAAAACTGATGATAAAAGGGAAAAAAAAAACCAGGCAAAAATATAATCTACTCACAAGATAACCTTTTGTAACTAATATGTTCAATTAATAATATTGAAGCTATGTGTTTTTGTTTTATTTCATTTGTATTTTCTTAGAACTTGGGAGAAAAATTGAAAAGTTTTAAGTACCTAATAAATTTGAAAAAAAAGTTTTTATTTTGAAAGAGACCAGAATAAAAAGATAATTTTTTTTTCTATATCATTTTACTTACACTCAAGTTTGGCAAAATTTTCATTACTCTTAGTTTAACATTTTGATTATTAATTTATTTTCAATCTAATAAAATATTTATGTATGTATATGTATGTAGTGTAAGAAAGTTTATGATACAGTATCATAGTGATAACAACAAATGATAATCATAGATATTATAGATCTTTACATCTGGTCCAATGGACCTATATGTCACTTTAAATGTTATAATAAGGCCATACCAAGTTATTTGTATGTTTATAGTGTCAGCACTGGTCAGCGGATGGATTGGTTTTGAGGCAAGGAAAATAAAATAAAAAAGAAAAAAAATTCATATTACATACAAATATTTGCATGCATTTTATACTCTATTGGGATCAGCATTTCATTTCCTTTTACATTCTTTTTTAAGCTTTATACCAAAGATTTGAATTTTAATATACGTCTAGTATTTTTAAAAAAATTCTTTTTTAATTTTGTTTCAATGTGAAGGAAATTCTCAAATGATGAAATCATACAATTATTCTAATAATGTTGTATTTCTTTCCTTGTTGGTTTGTTTATTTTTTTGGCCAGATATAAAGATAGGTTTATTTATTTGAGGGTGGATGCTTATAACCTAAAAAAAAAAAAGACTTGGATTGGTCCAAGTTATAAAAAAGGGTATACATACCTGTAATTACATGACAGTTCTTTATTTATTTTTTTGGTCATATTTTATGTAATTTGTTGTCAAACTTTAAAAGCACTGTATATAATTAAATGTTTTTCTTAAAAAGTTATACACCAGAATACTAATTAAGAATTGTATGAAAATGAATAAAAATCTAGATATGCCATTTTTTCCAATATTTTGTTCTTAATTTTCCATGAAGCTGCATGACAATGAAGTACTAAAAATGCATTTGTAAATATATTCTCGCTAATTCTGATTAAACAGTGATTATGGATGAAATTGTCAAAAATAAAAACTGCAACAAAATATAACTGAAGCTGCAACACGTTAAAGCTTACAACGTCTTACGTCTTAATTCTTTTTGGGGGTGGATATAGATTAATACCATGTGTTTATAATTCTGTATATATAACAATTTATACAACAAATAATGTAGAGAAGTAATCCCCATCAATTCTTCTTAATTTGTACAGTAATAACTGATGGTATGACCATGAAACCTGAATACAAGGAAAAACAAAGATTTGATACAAAAATCAGGAAATCATAGAGACATACCAGGATTTCAGATATAATAAATTTCAAACGGTCTCAAATTAATTTTAACAAGGGCATTGCAAAGCAAAGCATCCCCTCGCAAAAGACCACACAATTCTGTTATGAATTATTACTTAACTTTTGTTACGCACCCTCCCACTCAACCCTCCCTTCTCCCCCCAGCACACACACACAAGCATACTATATCCTCTCCAACTTCTTGCGTGGGGATAGGGATAAATTTTATTTCATTTTTATTTTTTTTCATTATTATATTTATTTATTTTTTTTTGCAAGGGAAACACAATTTCACTTTTTATATTTTCCTTGGAAAATATTTTTATATTTCTAAGTAAATAAAAAGTTGACACTAGGATTTGAATATTTAGCATGTTAAGTTTTGATAAGTTCTATGTCATGAGGACCACTGCTACAGTTTGATCTATTAATAAGTGTAAATTTATTATCCCCCTGTGCTTCAATTTAAACAATATGGCATAAAATACATACGATTGAATCGGAACTGAGACAACCCGTAATTGGCGACTTCACTGTACTTATAGGCAAGCTACATGTATGTAGCTAAATATACAGTGATTGGACAAGTGCCGTTAAGAAGTAAATGTTTACTTGCTTAAAAATACTGACAATAATCCTGAATACATAAACCTGTAATTGGCAACTTCACTGTACTTAGGTAATTCAAGCTAGGTAGCTAAATATGATGTTAACAAAAATTTTGCACCCGACTGCACATGACTCAATTATAATTTACACTTGGAAAAGAAAAAAAAACTGTATGTTATATTTTACTATCCCCTTGTTCAGTTATATTTAAGTAATTGGAATATGAGAAGATCAGACAATAGATTAATCAATTAAAAATATATCAAGGCAACATTTGATCCAGGTGCAAATTACGTCACTTTCGTTTTGCACAAGGTCAAACTAACCCACCCACTAACTAACACACACATATAGCCCGTTACTATATCCCCTCTGCAACTCTATTGTCAGGGATAATAAAAGAAAAAAGTACTAAGAAGTTACAGTCAACTGATCTTAATGACAGGGTTGTACCTAAGACCCGGGGGCCATAATTATTTAATATTCATATTATCATCATTCATGTATCATGATTTACATAATTCAACACTTTCCATTTCAACATGATATTTAAAATTATTTTACTCTATAAAATTATTCTACATTCTACCACAGTATTTGAAATAAAATCGAATTAGATTTAAATCAGACTAATTTTAAAACTATTCTTGCAAATTAAATGTCACTATGGTTAATACCTATTTGGAATATTACATCAGGAAGCCATTATAGATGTTTCTCTATTTATGCATCATTTTAAGGGCAAATTTAACATCTGAAATACTTATTTTTGAAATGATGACGTGTTCATAATGATAATAATAAAAAAAAATCACTGGCCAGCTGTCTACTTCAAGGCCAAATCTACAATCTGGTTTTGAATTTTCACATCTATAATTTGTCAACATACTGTATGCAAATCTAAGTACTGAATGTACTGAATAGAGGTGACATCTTCTGTTGATAATGTTATATGGATTTCCAAATTGAGTGATTTGGATGAGAAGGACTAAATATGTTGATTTATTAATGATTAAGATAAATTAATGATTAAGATACATAATTCATGACTCAAAAACAGATATAATTAAAATAATTATGCATTCTTGTGTATACCAAGTCCTTATCGATTGAAATTGGATCAAAAGTGTATGAGGTGTAGTGTTTTGAAAGAATTCTCTTACATAATCATTAGAAACTGCAACCTGTTCATAGAAATTTTATAGTCATGCAAGCATGCTGTAGTATACCTGTGTTCCAAGTTTTATTGAAATCAGAACAAACATGTAGGAAGAATTTGTTTTTGAAAGAAATTTTAAAAGAATTTCTCACAAAGTTCTATTTTATTTAAGTAACCATTATTGCAATGCCCTTTACTTTAATCTACCAGAAAAGCGCAATATATTTTCTAGTGCTACTTGAAAAGCGCAATATATTTTCTAGTGCTACTTGAATTTACGATAGAACTGTCAAATCACAATAGACATAGCCACACCCTGATGACAAATACATTACAAAACATGATCACAGAAACCTCCAGGTCCAGCCAATATTCATTTGTTTCTAAATTGTAAAAGAAATTCATTATATACTGCATTACTTGGTAACAAAATTTGACTTTGTAATAAACAGGAATTCACATTAAGAGTATTCCTTATAAACATGTTTTACTGTAAATAACATAATTGCACTAATCAAACCATAAATAATCAGAATTAGTGCCCAGGTTTTATTCCATTTAGAATCAATACAACCCAGCAGATAATTACATGAAAAGATCACTTTCTATCTATTTATCTAACCAAACAAGACAGGCTGTGAATAAAATTACAATATTAGAGCTTGTATAATTGCAAATTTGTTTTTTAACAACCCCCAGAGAAAAGAGGTGCTACAAGAAAATGGTTTTATCATTAAACGGCAATTTCTCTTTCACCACTAGGCTGTGATGTATGGATGAATTCTTTTCATATTTTATCGATTTTTATTTTTTGGAGAAGACATGTCTTTATAAAGATGAAGGAATAATATGCCAGAGTTAGGAAAATGATGTTTCACCAAGACTCTCTAGGCAACAACATTGACATGTCATCAACATTACATGCATTAAAGAGGCATATCATGGAGAGCTGATGAGAATGCTGACAATTATTTCCATTTTCCCCTCGTTGTGTTCAATCACAGACAGCAATTACAGGCCTATGCATTTCATCTGATAGACATGAGAGAGGGATTGTTAACACATTTTTTTTTTTGATGTGGTCCAGAGTGCAGCAAAAAGGACAATTCGGGTGTCTGAATCTTTGTGAGTTGACTAACATATTACAGAATACTTAGAGTCGCGAGATCTTTACATTTCATGTTGACCACTCACAACCACTTTGAAAAGGGCCAGGTTACAAGTACTAGCCTTATAATAAGCTTCCAGCACTCAAATGAATTTAAAGTCAACAGGAACAAAATTACCATCTTTCAAAGAGAAATCCTAATGCTTTTAAGGTTCATCAATACTCTGAAAAGAGAGATAAGTCTTAATGACATAAATGTCTATTATTCCTTTATAGTCGTGTCTAGTTGAAGTGTCATTTTTGTCCAATTTTGCCCCGCAAGCTATGCTATAATTGTTTGTATTTTACTTAAAAACTACATTTCTTTTGGAAAATCATAAGAGTTAAAGAAACATTTTATATGAGTGAGCAGAGGGTTTATGAACCTTAAAGAATTATTTTAAAGAATTTTCAAATTTTGATTTAAATTTGGGTTAAGAAATAAGGTTTCTACAAAACAGATATCATGCAGAATGAGCTAAGTGAAAGCAAAAAAAAAAAACATCCTCAAATATGCTGGAAACCTTGAAAGGGCTTTAACCTTAAGTTTGTGGAAAACAGAGAGATGGACAAGGAAGGGAGTCCTCAAAGTATAATGTCCCTCTGTGTCATTGATCTTACAGAAAGCTGCATCTGACTGGCATCTTTGTAATCCATCATTAATTACAAGATGTACTCTAAACATTCATATGATCACAGCAGGACATTGAAATAGCATAATTCATCAGGAAAGTCTAGACCACAGTATCAGTTCATCTTCTGTCAAAGACCTTATACTAATTAATGATCCTGATATAATCCATTTTGTGATAATTTAAAACATAATTAGCATGATCTGCAAATATGTCTTAATTACTCTCACGATAATTTACTGTATGACGTTCGTTTCAAGTTTAATGATTTGATTTTTTTGGACATATGTTACATAATATTTTCCTGAATTACAAAGGTCTATCCAGTTTTTCTCTTATCAGACAAATTTTGATAAAAATGATACAAACATTTTTTTTTCTCACATTAGAAGCAAGATATACTTAATACTCATTATTTCAAATATCTTCAGGCTAAAGAAATTCTTTAATTACTTAAATAAATATCTTTTTATGATAAGCATTCTGTGCTGACTGCTGGTTCATTAAAAATGAAAATTGTACCTTTGTTACAAAAGAAATGCCTTCACAGTTTCATTTTAAGACTGTTCTAAAAAACACAAAACACTTAATATTCAGTTCCCAAGAGCAATGACCTTTAAACAACTTTTAAAAGAATGACAATTTGTCTTATCAGTGCATTGTTGGTACATACAGTAATTGTTTCTTGTAAACCCATAACCAATCAGCCATTGATAAACTGCTTCTGTGTCTACACTACTTAGCTCAAATCTTTATTGATTTCTTTGCTTAAGGATTTGTACAAGACTATACAGCAAAGCCAAAGAGCTTCCACCAAAATACATTATATGTATTTCTCATTTTTTTGGTTGCTCACAGACTAATTGATAAACCAATGACAATTATGGGACTAGTCATGAAAATATAGTTGGTTGGAGTGTATGATTATCTCCATTACCAGAAGGAAATGACAGTAAGACATCAGTAAATGAAGACTCGAGATGAAGGACAACCTTATCTGATGAGTAAGACATGAATGTTCAGATTTTCAGAATAGATTTACTAGTACAGATCACTACAGAAAATTGAATGTTTCCCACTATGACTGTCCTTTTGCAGTTGAAAGCAAGCGATAATGGACCATCATCCAATTACAGCACTTGAAACTGGACATTTGATTCTGTATGCATTAATTTAATTGTAATAATTTGAGTATTTTTTTTTATTCTTCAAGATACTTGCACTTAAGTAGAGAATAACTTGGAAAAATTTCTTTGAACAATACTCTGCTGGCAAAGATCCTGTTTATGTGAGGAAAATACAAAAAAAGCCTGACAACTACGAAGACTCTTAATGATGATCATGATTCATTGATGTTCATTAAAGCCCTCAAAGTAGCAGAATATAAGGAGCTTGATTCCTACTTCAACCTACTGAATAAGGTGAATTCTGCTGCTTTTTTTAAAATCCAGTGTTAATGCTGTTTAATACAAAGTCATCTATAAAGCTGGTGGTCAACCAGTGACTTGCTGGATTCTACGTGTCAATCACCAGGGGTCTAATTGGCGACTAATTTAGTCGTCATGGCGCCTAATATTTTTGAATGGCGCCTAAAAATTTTCCATAAGTTGCCAAATTGGCGACCATTTTAAATTGACTTGGCGATCATCGCATTCCGGAAATTTTAACATTTTTAACAATTTTCCTAAAAACACGAAAAGAAATTTAAATTAAAGAAGAGGAAATTATTTCTAGCAATTGACATGTCCTGTTTCTTAGTCACGGCATGGGTCCCTATATTTATTACTATTAACTTATAAAGTTGGCGCCTTAAAAAAATTGCCTGGCGACTAAAAATTTGCATTGGCGACTAAATTTTTTTGATAAGGCACCAGCTGGCGCCTAAATTTTAGAGGTCACTCAGAGGCCTGATCACTTACTTGTCTGCCCCTAGGACCACTCCAAAGGCCACATGTTCTACCCTGGTCAGTTTACTGTTGTACATGTCAATCACTTACTTGTCTTCTCCTAGGACCACCCCAAAGGCCACATGTTCTACCCTGGTCAGTTTGCTGTTGTACCAGCCAAGATGTTCTGCTGCAGCATACACCGTCTGGAGGTGGGTTCCCTACATAAATAACACCTCATTTACACTGTTTTCTTTTTATTATTTATGTACATGTCGACATACAGGGAAATGTCCAATTTCAGTTTATGATAATTGTGTTTTTTCTCCCTTCACCATGGTACTGACACTGGAGGTAGTTATTTTGATGAAGTCTGTTGTCTGCACCTGGCCATGCCAACAAGTTGAATAACATGTCTTGGTCAGTTGAATACCATGTATTGGCATGACATGAAAATTTGTTAGCATGACCAGATGCTAAAAAATAACAATCACAGTGTTTTTCTCTATGAATTGTGATTCCAAATGCTGCATTTGTAGCTGTGATCTATATTAAGGTAGTTTTTACCTGTCCTGCATCCACGACATAAATCAGCCAGTCTCCCTTCTCGTCGTGAAGACGTTGTTTAATGGCTGCCATGTCAGACGTGTCGTATGTAAATCCTCCATCGGATTTGACAATTGTCATCGGGACTGGACAGCCTGGTACATACATGATTTGTCTCCCTTCATCATATTCCAGTTTACCTACAAGTTAATTTTGAAAGAAAAAGCTTTAAATGAGGAATATGCTATAACATACAGATTCACATTTTATTTTTAGAAATTAGAATTGAAATTTTGACCTTTTCCTAAGCAATTACCGTATATACTCGCCTATAAGTTGGATTTTTGGGAGTTAAATTTTGGTCTAAAACTTTATGTCCAACTTATAGGCGAGTCATTAAAAGATTAGTATTTTTCTGTATGGCAAAATGAAGTATTTTATAAACATTTCCCATGATTATCGTTGAACAAAGTCTGGATATATTATATCATTTATGTTTTCTAAGATTATACATAAAGTACAAGTATTTACATATTTTAATAATTTTATTTTTATCTTAGGTGTGCATTATGTACTTTTCTTCATGATTAAAAAATAAATATAGGCGTCATTTCTAAAAATATTAATCGAAACCAGGTTAAAACATCAGAGCATTGTTTTGAAATTGTCAAGCGATTCTGGCAAAAGTTATACTGACTTATAAGCGGGTCAATGGCATATCCCTCCAAAATAACCTCAAAAAATACAACCGACTTATAGGCGGACTTACTTATAGGCGAGTATATACGGTAAGATGCATATCACTATTTTTTTTTGACACATTTTAAAAATATGACTAAAAATCTTTTAAAAAAGGGAAAGATAGATATACAGGATGTTTATATACTGTATGTACACTATAAATGGCTAATAAGCTTCATTTACTTACCCATGTGATCAAGTAATTTGACGACATCTTTCATCATCTCCTGATAAAAGGATTCTCCCCTTTCTATCAGAGTTACACCAAGGCGATCGTAAATCTTCTGAAACTCTACAATAAACGTAAGCAACAAATATTTTACAAATAAAGAGACACTAAAAAAATTGCCACATTCCCTTGTATGAAATGATGAGCTTATTTATATGCATGGGACTTATTTACATGCATGGGAAAACAAAAGAACAAAAGGAAAATAAACAAAACAAATTTCCCCATGTTGATTCACTTTAATTAACACAACCTTAAAAATCCATGTGTTCTTGATAATTTAACTTCTCTCCTCTCAGAAACACTTGTCCTATCATATTATCAATATTTAGGTTTTTTTTAAACAAAAAAAAAAAAAAAAAAAAAAAATTAAATTCATTAACAACCTATATTTAGGAATGCTCTTGACTGTATCTGTAATGAAAGAATTACAGAAACATAATTGGTTGGTTATTCTATGGATTGAATTAAAATCTCTTCCTTGGCTTATCTTGGAGAGTAAGCTTTAAGATCACATGATTTAAGCAATTCCAACATTTTAATTGCTTGATAAAACTCAAGTTTATGAGGCGAGAAATGTATGAGAAATACAATAAATTCCTTAAAATAAGTCAAAATCCTAAAGGTTCATAAAAATGTGCATGCATAGAGATCATATGCACTTCAAATTATTCTTAATGATCAATGCTCATTAGCAGTTGTTGTAAGTTCATTAACAGAAATCATCAATGAAATCACAATAATTTAAACATCCATGGATTATAATTTTCATGATACACCCCTCCTCCTTCCCTCTTCACTGTGAATTGCATACAACTAGTGTAAATCTCTAGAATGACAAAACAAGATGAATGCAGTACTTGCCTTTCCGTGACACGTCACAGATAAGTTTCCACGCATTGATGTGCTCCTTATCATAACTCTGTAACTTCACCACTGCATCATACGCTCTCTTTTTAAATTCTTCATCCTCATCAAACCTGGTTTTGGATTCCTGCAGGAAAGGAAAAATCTCTGCATGAAAAATAATTTGAATTCCCTGTTACAAAAGCTCATGATTTTACTATTAAACAGAAAGAATGAAAGAAAAAGTGAGCAAGCTCACATACCCCATGCTCCCCCAAAACTCGACAATGCAACACGTAATGAATGGCACAGTGCATTTTAAATACACAGTATAATTCAAAAAGGGGCATTACTTGCAAAAAATCATCACATTAAAACTTGCATATAAGGACATTCAAATCTTTGTATGTTACAAATTTAATTGGGCTGAAGTTTCTAGATAAATAATGGAATCAACATTTCTTGGTAATATACAAATCTATACATTATGTCTGAAATACCTACAAAGTTTCAGGAAATTCAGTGCAGGAGTTATGCTGACAAACTGTTATTTAAATTTCTCAGTGATTTTGACTTGTTAATGAGTGTAAGTCCATGTCCAACACATGACAATTTACACATTTAAATAATTGATGGAAACAAAATTATGATGTACCGGTAGTCATATGAATTTGTTTATATACTGTACTTATGAAATTATTTAGCAAAGCACCAATTTGAGAGGGGGGGAACTATCCAAGATTTTGTGTGTGTGTGTGTTTTAAATCATGAATATTTTGATCTCAAAATCAATAGGGGTCTTTTAAGTTCATAAAATATTTCACATAAAATTTCATTACAAAAGCTGATTCCAGTGGATTTCCTTATTACCTAGCTGGAAAGTTTCTTCAATAATAGGCAAAATTCTTAGGGCAAAAATAAGGGAATCGGATTTTCCTGGAAATATGCACATCTACCCACTGTGTACTAAATATCTGCAAAGTTTGACCAAATTCTGTGCAGCGGTTTAAGAGGAGTTGTGCTGACAAACTGTTCATCTCTATATTCAAGATATGGCCAAAAATCTAAGTTGAAAAGTGCCGAAATTCCCAGAAAAATAACGGAATCTGATTTTCCTGGTAATATGCACATCTACACACTGTGTACTAAATATCTGCAAAGTTTGACCAAATTCTGTGCAGCGGTTTAAGAGGAGTTGTCCTGACAAACTGTTCATCTCTATATTCAAGATATGGCCAAAAATCTAAGTTGAAAAGTGCCGAAATTCCCAGAAAAATAATGGAATCGGAATTTCCTGGTAATATGCACATCTACACATTGTGTCCTAAATATCTGCAAAGTTTGACCAAATTCTGTGCAGCGGTTTATGAGGAGTTGCACTGACAAAAAAAACAGGACTGATGGACTGACTGACCGACTGACTGACTGACTGACGGATGGGTCAAAAACATTATACCCCCGCAACTTGTTGCATGGGGTGTAATAAAGTAAAAGCTTGCAGATTATTACGACAACTGTGGATGCAGTGAAGCTATTAAAGACTATTTCACCTAAAATCTTTCTAAAGAGAGACTGCTGAAATTTTATTACTCTAAATATCTGCAAAGTTTGACCAAATTCTGTGCAGCGGTTTAAGAGGAGTTGTCCTGACAAACTGTTCATCTCTATATTCAAGATATGGCCAAAAATCTAAGTTGAAAAGTGCCGAAATTCCCAGAAAAATAATGGAATCGGAATTTCCTGGTAATATGCACATCTACACATTGTGTCCTAAATATCTGCAAAGTTTGACCAAATTCTGTGCAGCGGTTTATGAGGAGTTGCACTGACAAAAAAAACAGGACTGATGGACTGACTGACCGACTGACTGACTGACTGACGGATGGGTCAAAAACATTATACCCCCGCAACTTGTTGCATGGGGTGTAATAAAGTAAAAGCTTGCAGATTATTACGACAACTGTGGATGCAGTGAAGCTATTAAAGACTATTTCACCTAAAATCTTTCTAAAGAGAGACTGCTGAAATTTTATTACTCTGAAAGTGAGGGGAATACTAACTGCATTCTTTTCTTCTCTGGTCTTTTTTTTTTTTTTTTTTGAAAATTCCCTTATTTTTTCTCAAAGAAAATATGGTAAGAAGGATAACTCCTAAAATAAAACTGCAGGCCTATCTATCCTTTCAATTTATTTGGAAGAATGCACCTAAATGAAATTTATTTTCAGCAACCTAAATGCAGAAATAAGTGGTGAAAGTATCACACATTCTAGACCCACCTTGTAAAATGCCTGAAGGTCCTGTATTGGTGGGGATACTGTACTGTAGTTTGGGAATTTGTCCTTCAGGTGAGCAATTAACATGCCAAATTGTGTGCCCCAGTCTCCCACATGATTTATCCTTAGGACATCATGGCCGACCCATTCTAGCAGACGACAGATACTCTCACCAATAATAGTGGACCTGTGGTAAAGTATTTGAACAAAGTCTTACAAAAGAAACAAATCTGAACAAGCAGAGATGTTTTGCATGCGAACTGTTTTTGCATGTATAGCAGGGCCTTCACCAGGTTTCTAAATAAACAAATAATTAATCAAAGAACATAGGAGAAAGTACAGTATTATAAATGTTTATTTGTTCAGAAAATTCCTCAGTTGACTTTGTTTAATTTAGTGTTTGTATTGTCTCAAAAGCAACTGAGCATATGTACACTTTTTTTAATCGTAAATTTGATTTGGCGGCGAGGAAGTAGCATATTCGGTTGAACACTGTTACATAAGCCAGCTATATCTTCTAAAAGCAAAAAGCCTGGTTAAAAAGGGGATGCTGAAGAGGGTCTGGGATGGGTAACCCCTCCTCTAAGCCATTTTTTTTAACAAATGAATACCATTTTGGTGGGTGTTCTGAAGCATCCATGAAGTCATTCTTTCAAATATTTAATATATAAAATGCAGCAAAAAAGATATTTTCAAGTTTTAAGGGGGATGGGATGGCACCCACACACCTTCCATTCCGATGACTTGTAATGATACTCTACTTTACAGCTCATAATTTCAAATCATTTAATTTTTTTTTCATTTTCATATAATGTCTTATCCATTTTAGATATACATGTATTGATATTCATGATAATGTGAATATGAAAACTAAGCAGAGGTATATGTCTAAAGTCCATGTACTTCAAGTAAAGAGATCCTTTATAAAGCTTCAAACATGAGAGTACCTCAGATGGCCCACATGCATTTCTTTGGCAATATTTGGGGAAGAGAAATCCACAATCGCCTTTCGCTTGACCCCTATCCTTGGTGGCCTAACTCCTTTGTTCAAAAGCTCACTCACTTGCTCAGACACAAAATTTTTGTTGAGGAAGATGTTGATAAACCCAGGTCCTTGAACATCAACCTACAACATTTACAATAAATTACAACATGTACAGTAAATTAGTTGTCTGATTCTCAAATCTGCATAATATTCTAATATCTTAAGGATTTAATTCAATTCATGATCACTATACTTAAAGTGACTGAAAAACAGATGTCCTTTTGAAGCAAATCTTCATTTTAATACTTACATGTAAGGTATTCATTTTTTAAATGTCCTTATGTTCATGTAGGATTTTTTTTTAAGTATAATAAAAATAAAGTTTTAACATACAACACAGATGATTATTTCCCTTTATAATAATTATCATGTACATTCCAGGTGTGATTATGGACATTGATAAATCTGTACATAGATACATGGTATGTACATGTACATTGATTAATTACAGAACAGAAAAGCTACCTTTTCAAAATATGATGTTTCTGGAAGGTTTTGTACTATTTTGTTTGCAATATCCCTGGGACTGGAACCTTGTCCTTTTTCTTTCAATATCTGTTAAATAGAAAATAAAATTTAATTTGGATTTTTTATATTGTAAATGTACTGAACTTGTACTGGTTCAATTTTCAATTAATTAATTAAACCTAAAAATTTTAATGAAAATAAGAAATGTGTTAGAAATACATACCATAACAGTAGAATTTTTAGAAAGGATTCAATTAATATGATTATGGCATTATTGTCAAGAATTATGAGATCGCTAAAACTGAGTATGGAAATCAATTCATTCCACTACCTTTTTTAAATAGATAAATAACTAAACTTGCATCTGGCTACCACTAACTTCAACATATATTGTATGCCCCCAATGTAGCAAAGGGTTTATATGATACTGAGTAGAAAATATCTTCCTAATTAAGGACATACGCAACGTGGTTTGAACTTTATTGTCTTTTTCCCTGGAGTTGAAGAGTTCCAATACTTAAAGGAACTGTGTGCTACATATTAATGTCTATTTATGCTGGTGTACACTTCTTCTAAAACAAGTTTGGATAAATAAAACATCTAGAATATATGTTTAGTATTTTTTGTATATTTTTCTTTGAATTATACATGAATTTTCATCAATTGATATCTTTTCAAAACCTCTGGTAATGCATGCTGATTTTTTGTCTACGAACATCTAATGGCACTATAATCTTAAATTAAGAATATCTTGAAAAATTAACAGTAGGTAAGGTACGCTGTGTATGTCCTTAAGTCCTTTTGTAAAGGGGGCATAAAAATTCTACTTTATGTATAAAGAATAACATTTTCCTTTCTTTACAGAATATTTACACCTTACTTTAATTACAATTTTCTAAAGCTGACTGGTTTAAAATTTCATACCTATACAGCTGTTATGTACAATGCTCTGTGAAGCTATACACCTACCTTTGCTAAGTTCAGTGCACTGTTACACTGGTAGTCAGCAAACTTGGAGCTTCCCTGTATCATGACCGGCGGGTTATCTATATTTGGGAAGGCCTTACGAATCGCCATTCCAAAGACGTCCTCCACGATTGTACAGATACTGACCATGTAGTCTGGCTTCCTACTCTTCTCAGCTGTTATGCTCTGAAATATGTCAACCATACAAGAATATAATTGATTCACTTTGAAATCTTTTGTACGTCCATCTCTAAAATGACTTATACATATCTATTAAAATTGATTCCATAAACTGCGTTTAGTTTGCCTTTAAAAATTGATCATTCCTTCTTAAAATAAAGTGCCCCGCCACAGCATGATACGCCCATCAAATATTGTTCAATTGTCATATTAGTGATGCTGGGGTCCTGGGTTCGATTCCCAGTCCATCCTTATATTTTCTCCTTTCCTGTTACATAACTTGGTGCTGTTGACAACCCCTGGACTTGCAGGTGAAGGTCCTGCCAGGGGCAAATAAGAAATTAAATTTCGTCCTGCCAGGGGCAAATAAGAACTTGAATTGTGTCCTTGAGGGTGAAGACAATATAAGAAGGGAAGAATGTTATGGTTTGGGCTATGGATATTGGCCTGGATAGCTCAGTTTGGCGAGTGCCTGACTAGTGATGCAGGGGTCCGGGATTTGGTCCAGCCATACATTTTCTTCTTTCCTCTTATATAATTTGGTGCCATTACTCCTGAACTTGCATGTAAAAGTCCTGACATGGGCAATTTTTAGACTCTGTTTTTGAGGGCAAAGACAAAATAAGTGAGGAATGTTATGGTTTAGGCCATGGGTATCAGTCTGGATAGCTCAGTCGGGTGAGTGCCTCAGGGGTAGACAAATAGAATTTTACAGTACTTGCCCTCGGACAGGTAACCATCGTAAAATTACTTGTCCTACCAAAAAATATGCTTGCCCCACCTTTTTCCTAATTAACACAAAATTAGAGCATCATCGTTAGTGCTAGTTTATTTCTCAATTGATGCACTACATGGGGACCAAACTAGACCAAAAATCACTTAATTCTTCCTCCGAAAAATCTAGGGCTAATTCTTGTTCCATTGAGATTTCTTAGCTTGTGCAGTGCGCATATCTACATGTATATACATGTACATAATTTAGACATTTTTCTCTGTACTACTTTAACATAAGAAAAAAAAAAATAGAAGACGTCAAATCATTTGATGATTTCTAATTGCAAGGCATATGGATATCGAGCATTAGAATTTTAGTGCATATTGTCAACATACAATTTCTCATCTGAAAAAAGTTATTTCATATCCTGCATAATATGCATACATGATCACAGTTCATTATTTTAGTAGTAAAATTTTACATTTAAGATTCAGATTTCTTTCCGTATTTCGGGGTATTAGTAAAGTAAAAGTTTCAATCTATTTTCTTCAAAATAGTTTCATGAGGTATTCCCCCATTTTTTTTTTATTTAAGAATAATGTGTATTTATTTGCCGATTGAAAACAAAAAATATTATTCGGTATTTGATTATGAAAACCACAACTGCATGCCGATCGTGACTTTATTTTATCACCTATCAACAGCTCCAATTAAAACGTTTGTATTCACGGCATGAATTTTTTACATTATGACAATACCTAAAAAGGTCTAAAATCCTCTTCAACTTTTGTAACATGAAATTGATAGCTGCTATAATTAACGTCTTGAAACATGAATGGGTAAATTCTAGAGGAGTTCCGACCGAGTATTCAATGTACTGTGGTCAACAGCAGCGAAAACAGGTGCTCTCCTGTGATTCATAACATTTCGACAGCGATGAAACAAACAACATTTGATTTTTTGTTAACTGTAGAAGCACTTGCCCGTGGACAGGTACCACTTATCAAATAACTTGCCCGCCAAACAAAATTGGTTGTTCCGGGCATCGGGCAATGCTATTTATCTATGAGTGATGCAGTCTGGGATTCCGGATTTGATTCCCAGTCCAGCCATACATTTTTTCATTTGCTATTACAATTCAATTTATATTGAGAGAACATTCCATGGAGCAGACAATGATTTAAATCCAGAGCCCCTGGGAAAAAGAATGGAAAAAGCAATGGCTTAAACAAAGGATATGAAGCTGGGACCCCTGAACCCTATACAGTCTGGAATAAGTGAGTTTGCTGATCACTGGCAGACTGCCATAACTAACACACAGAGATCATGGAATTCCCTGACCAAATCCCATGTTCACATCAACACATAAAGATTGATACATAAAAATTAATCTTCATAAATTCTTTCCTCACAAGCTGTGACATCAAAGGCACACATCCCACATACACTGTATTTGTATTCTAGAGGCATTGTAGCCTGCATGTCTCTAACTTACCCTCTTTAACATGTTGATCTGATACTTAAGTTTGGTATTCTCATTCTGCAGAGCCTCCAATGCTGGTGACACGACCCCCTCAGCTATTAGTTTCTGGGGGTTCTGGAGGGTGGCTACCTCCTCTTCAAGTCTCTTGATCTCTGCCTCCTGTCAAAGCAGAAAACTTTGATCTTACAGTGTGATGATGCAATACTAAGAAAATAACTAAAATGGTGGAAAATGAGATTAAATAGAAGCATAAAACAATACTGGAATCAGATCTGCCATTAACATTGTTTTCAAAGAGCATATTTTAATGGGACATTTTATTTTACTGTACATCCTTCCTATTTTGTCCATTTACCAGAAATGGAAATGAATAACGACATAAACTTGTTTTTCACTTTGCATATTTAAGGCCATCATTAAAAATATCTTTGTTTCCCCTAACCCAACCCTAAAATTTCAAGTTGAGTAGGTAGGTAGGTAAATTATTTTTTTTTTCTGACAGCAGTTTTGAAAATACATTCTGAAAATTGAATAATATCTCTATAAATAAAAAAGAACAAAGGAAACCGATTTTTAAACCGAATATCATACAAATGAAATTTAAAAGCAACATGTATGGTAAATTAATTCACATATATTATTCATTTGAATTTGTGAAATATCTCAGGCCAGCGTAAATTTATTGAAATTGATTTTTTACAAAAAGACAAGATTCGCAAATACTCAACCATCGGCCCTTCGAGTATATTTTTTTCAAACCTACTATCATCTTCGAGTGCTTACACAGATAAAATGTCAAGGGCCTTGCGTGGCGCAGTAATTCTAGTGTTTCGTTTTGGAGTCACGACGTAATTCAGAAGCTTATTCTAATTAAGTCACAGGTCCCGACGTGGGGCGTGGAAACTGGTCAGTCGAATGAGACCGTAAAAAAGGTAGGGCCATGTAGTGTCACAGTATACATGTACATGTAGATGTTGGCACGAAAAAGATCCCTTACTGATGCTTTATGATCAATGGCCATAAGTGCCGAGAAAAAGTCTAAATTAGGAGCCCTCTACCAGGCAGATGTTCAGCAATTTTTAAAGGTATTTTAAAGCAAAGAAACAACCTATTTTCAAGGGCCCAACTAAAGAAAAGAAAAATACACTGGACGTCTCAGGAAGCCGTACCATAAGCCAAATTAAAGATTTCAACACTATTTGAAAAGAGTATACCTGTATAAACAATATTTAATTCAACCAAACCATATCTAAAATGATTAAAGTTTCATTTATCTAATGTTTTAGTCACGAAGTTTACCCCATAAATAAAAGGAATGAAGAAAGGACATCCGAACTATATTTATCAAGATGAAATAATTATACTAAGATATATTTACAACTCCAATGGTCCTATATAGTAAAAATAGAATCATACATGAAGTGTTTTTTTTAGATCGAAACGAATGAAATGCAGTGAAATTTATTGATATGCATACACAAAGTGGGCCCGTCATCTGCTCATGAGGCAGGCTTTGTCATGCTTACTACTTACGTTAATTTTAGAAGACACATTTGTAAATACCATCTGAACACTCCTTAGTCATGGTATATTGAATTCACGAAATGTTTCAAGAGTGTAGGATTCTAATAAGTTAAAGATGTATATTAAGATTGATACATCGCCGTTGTTTTATAACACTAAATAACCCTCTGTGGCCACATGTTGTGGGCGCCAAATGAGTTAAACAAAAGCCGCTGTTCTGATAAAAAACGAATTTTGATGAAATTGTATTTAATAAAGTTGATAAACAATAAAAATAAATATTTGAATAATCTTATTAAAAAAACTTTTCAGTCGGCACGATTTAAGTGGGTCGGTCGCGTTAGGGGAAACAAACCTATTTTTTATTTTGGCCTAAGTTTTCATGATTATAGAGTCTCCTTTTCCCCCAGAGAAATCATTGAACAGTTGAATAGATCAACCAGAAGGCTGAAGCACAAGAGCAGTGCCGAGTTTACTCAGTCTCTCGTGCTGTCAGTCATATGGCACTATGGGATCGCAAAGCTATACGTGGCTTACATAATAATTCGCATATATAAATATATAATATAGTTCTCTTACCGCTTGTTCGGCATGTGCTAGAAGCACAGATATATCAGTCATGATGATGAAATACTTCAAATAGGCTTTAATAGCCGGTAATCACAGAACAGGATCCACGTTGGATTTGTTTTCGGTATTTAAACGAGAGAATTGATAAGAAAAATAGTTACAATTCCGGAATAATAAAGTAAACTTTTTGTTCGGAACTCCTCAATATTTCTCATAGATTCATATTCAAATACTGAACCAGAATAATGTTTGCCAGGTAAAGTGGGAAAATTAAGTTATGTTTTGTCACAATGTTAATTTGTGTAAAATTTTGTATAGAATTTAATACATAGAAAACCACAGGTGCTTGAGGACAGCCCCCCCCCCCCCATATAGACCCCCGGGCCTTTTTGGCTTTTTTCTCATAAATCATCTTTCAATGACATAGTTGTGGTATATTTATGGCACGCCAAATTCACAAAAATGAGCTAATCATAGTTTCACAGTTGATAAACTAGGTTTATCGACTGTAAACTATAGTTTACAGACCGTAAACTATAGTTAACGATGATAATCTATATTTCACATATGTAAACTATAGTTTACACGATAATCTATGTTTCACAAGCGTAAACTATAATTAACACGGAAAACAATCATTTGCTACTGCAAAATATAGTTTATCTGATAAATATAGTTTCACGATTTGTAAACTATGATTTACAACTCTAAACTATACTTAACAAATGTAAATTATAGTTTAGGCTTTGTAAAGTATACTTTACAGACATACAAAGCGCCAAATTCACAAAAATGCGATAAACAGAGTTTTACACTTGAGAAACACAGTTTAGGAACAGAATCTCTTATTTTGTATCGGAGATGCACATTTTTCTGTGAAACTAGATTACACGACTCTAAACCATAGTTTACGATCAAAACCATAGTTAACAATAGTTTTTTTTGTTGTAAATTATAGATCGGCTAATCCTAGTTACAGCATTATAAGATTTTGCTATGTTACGACAATTGTTGTTAAATATATATGCATGTATATTTCTTGTTGGCGTTATAAGTAAATGTTCTATTATTTTAAAGCAAATCTAGTTGGAAATAAAAAGAAAAATGACTGGAAAATTATTGATTAAAATTTTATTTTTTTGATTTAAAAGAGAAAAATAGAGACCGAAATGCGTGATCTGTCATTAATAAAATACATGTATATCTTATATTCATCTGTAAATAAAGACATAACACAGTGCATGTAACATTGCAGGCGCGGAATTTATTTTTCAACAACCGAATTTTCTTCATACATAAATAAAAGTAGCCTTTCACGGAACAAACACAACAAATATTTGGGACTTCTCTCTCATTCTCTCTCTCTTAAATTCAAAGCCCCCACAACCCTATCTATATCCGCCACTGCATATCCTCTCTTTCAGTTTCTTTGTTTTGGTGATGAGATGTGGCGGGAAAATGCTTGGCACATTGTAAAACGCGCTTCACCCTCCTCTGCTTGAGCAAAAATCTCGTAATATTCTGTCTTTTAAAAAATTAAAATTTTATCATATTTCTAAAAATTTCCCCATAGGAAATGTATATATACACGACATTTTAAAACAAATACAATTAATCCTGTTTAAATAGAGAAAGTAATATTGATTATATATAACTCGGTCTTTGCTTTAGATAATGCCCAACACGTGTCCTTAATATTCTCCGCACTGATAAAACCTATACCCCATTATTGCTTCTCGCGATTGGTGCCGCGAAATTTTGAATTGAAAACTATCGTTAACAGTTAACAGGTGTTTAGATTCATAAACTATATTTAACAACTCTTAACTATAGTTTACGAGTGTGAATTATATTTTATTACGATAAACTATGATTGGCAAATGTGAATCATAGTTTAGCTCTCAAAACTATAGTTTACGATCGATAAGTATAGTTTACGTCTGTTAAATATAGTTTGTGAGTATAAATGACAGTTAACTATAGTTTACAACCGAAATCTATGGTTAACGAATGTAAAACATAGTTTATCTGATAAATATAGTTTCACGATTTGTGAAACTATGATTAACAACTCTTAACTATAGTTCACGATTGTAAATTATAGTTTACAGATGTGAATCTATGTTTATCAACAAAATCTATTGTTAACGTTTAATTACAGACAGATAAACTTAGATTAGCATTCGTAAACTATAGTTAACAACCGTTAAATATAGTTTTACAGATGAAAACTATAGTTAACGAATCGTTAACTATAGTTCACGGTTTGTAAACTATAGTTTACAGTCGATAAACCTAGTTTATCAACTGTGAAACTAAGTTTCGCTAATTTTTGTGAAATTGGCGTGCCATATATATTCTATACCAACAATTCGAAAAATTACAAAAAAAAAAAAAACATAGTATAAAATCTACCCCACTCTCATATAGGGTAGGGTAGTAATTTTTATAAAATGTTTGTTTTAGGCAATTTTCCGAATTGATGATATAGAGATATATCACAAATGTGTCATCCATATATAATTTATGAGAAAAAAGTCGAACAGGCCCGGGGGTCTATATCGGGGGGGGGGGGTCCTGTCCTCAAGCACCTGTGATAGAAAACAACACAAAGTCGCATATCTGAACACCAAAGAAAACTTACGATTTCTTTACATTTTAGGGATTTATTATTTATGCCGATATAAACATTTTTTTTCCGAGTATAGTTTTTGCTATAGTAAATTTTCCTTAGATCTATGCTGCCCCCCCCCCCCCCCCACACACACACACACACACTCTTTAATGTTATAAGGTCGAGCACAGGCAAATTCCAGGATTTGGACAGTAAATTTGTTTTGTTGTTGTTGTTGTTTTGTTTTTTTGGCTTGTCATTGGAAGTTCCCCCCCCCCCCCCTTTTGAAACCGTTGCTACGCGTCTGATAAATGAATTAATTCGCAATACAATTCATTTTCTTGAAAACACAACAAACAATGAACAAAGACTTTTGGAAAAGTTACATAGCCACACTTGCTCTTCTAAAAAGTCATTTTCACGTGTAAACAGAATTATTTTTCTTCACTTTCCGAGGTTAAAAGAATTTCTGATACAGGTAAGTCGACATCTTTAGTAAGTTATTGTCTTAAGAATTTTATGGTATCAAAAACTAGTATCTGTATTGTGGAAATCATTTCTTCCATTATATTGCGACTAGGATCGTAAAATCCATGTAATGCTGCTTTGGCAAGAGTGTCAAATGTTACAACATGTGTGTTTTTTAATATTATTTGCTTACTTTTCAAATGGTCACTAAGTCTTGTTAATTTAATTATTGACCTTAACATTATGTAAGGCACAAAATGCCATGTGTGAATCTAGTAGTGTGTTAACCATGTAATCCAGTGAACAGATGAACATGTGTCAATCTGTGCATAGTGGTATAGTTCTTAAGGTAAAGTTCTAGTAAATGAGTTTAGACTGTCTTTTGTTGCTAGATCCATTATGATGTCGAAATTGATATAAACTTTCTTTTCCCGTACTTTATGGCTATAACAGAATTATGCAGAGAATGACTCATTTTCATGGAATTCAATTTGAAATCATGTCAAAAGTAAGCCCGATACCTATATTCAATGTATATTTCAAAGAAGAGGTCAAGAAGATATGAAAAACTGTTTTCTGAGAGACTGTGGGCAATATTGATACATTTCCTTTGTATGAGATGGAGAAAACTGCCATATTTCTACCTGATTTTCTTCATTTTTCATTGAAAAGGACAGTTTAAATATTACTAAAACTTATGTCCCGATACACCTTAATTTATTAAGCTATAATTTAATGGATTATTAAAGGAATTCATTTCTCAAATTTGAAAAATCTACAGACACTTTTCATTTACTAGATCTTGACTTTAAATACCGTGAATACGAGGGTCGATCCAAAAGATAATGTCACAACTGATATGTATAATGTTTTTTTATTATATGATTGAATAATTGCTTTCTCTCTGATTGGCTGAGATCCAACAATGTAGAAAAAAAAATACTACGTTCTATTCAACTGCACGTGATCTTCCAGGTGAATATAAGGATTTATTTTTCTCCACATTAGTCTAAAAATAGATTGGGAAATTCCAAATTGATACAAATAGTTTTGGAAAGTTATTTACATTAAGGCACATAGATTCTTGGGTGAGGGGTGGGGGTGGGGGTTGCAAGAGGCCTGCCCCTCTCCCACCTTTTGAGAATGTAAAGTTTTAATTTAAATTTCAAAGCTATATATGGCGTATCTGAGCTAAAAATTAAAAATATGAGATTGGGATATTTGTTATTTACTTTCTAATTAAAATTTTCACCGATTTTGAACTTGAATAACCCCACGTTTTTATAGTTAAATTGACTTTAAACTGTGTCTGATTTTTAAATGCGGATTCGGTAAATAAATCGGTTATTGTTTTAAATTTTTAATATCAGTGAAACACCGTTGATTTAATTTGTGTAATTTACAGGAAAGTCTTATCTTTATATAAAGAAATAAAACAAATAGAAAGATCTTATTAATTTTAGTTAGTCTGAACTTATAAAAAAAATACGCCATATATGACTTTAAGATATATTTTTTTTTTTACAATGAAACCCCTTCCCCTCTTTTATGGACCTTAACATCCCACCAACTAAAATTTTGAGTTGGGAGAATTCTTCTTTTTTTTAGGGGAGGGGCGCTTGTAAAAAATATGCTTTCAGGTAAGTTGTCAATTTTTTCCTTAATGCCCCCTTTTTCAAAATCAATCCTATATTTGTGCCTGACAATTATTTTTTCTACATTGCACATAAAATAGAATTAAAAATTCCAAAATAATACAAGTGGTTATGTTTTTAACCTCGTTTCTCTCATTATTTTTAGCTAGTACTTCAGTAAATGTAAACAAGTAAGATGGCATGGATTTCTTAACGAGTGTGTGTCATTTAACCATTGAATCACATAATAAAACAATTATTGCTGTTTTTTTTCGGTCAATACGATGATTAATAACCACCTTCGAAGTACAATATTCACCTCGCCCTTCGAACTCGATGAATATTGTATTTCTCAGGTACGTGTCTAAATTATCGTATTGACCTCAAAAACACAGGTGCTTGTGGACAGAACCCTGCTTCTGCGATGCACCCCCTCCCCTTTCAATGATTTTTTTTAATAATATTTTTTAAATATAATTTTCTTTATTTTTATCTCTTACTACCTCATCTACATGTTCCTGATAAAAAAATCACATTAAAATTACGAGGAAGATGCGAATTCTAATAACATTCGTTATTATCTATATTTACTTTTTTTCACATATAAAATGAAAATATAAGGAATCAGTTTCTAGTTTGTTGGATAAGCCAGGGTCATTAACGACAACCTCATTCTTGTGGAGATTTTACATCAGTAGAATTAGGACAACTTTGGACAGAAAACCATTTAAATGATAGAGCTTATAATATTATAAAACAACGACTTTTAGATGTTTCAAAGCAAAATATAACAGAGAGTATATCAAACTCTCCAAAGGGTTATTTGTATCAACATTTAATTTACAATTTCTGTTTGCAATCATATTTAACAAAACCTATTGACAAAAAATTTAGACAACTATTAACAAAATTTAGGTTAACAAATCATATGTTGAATATTGAAACAGGTCGATACCATAACATTCCAAAGATTAAAATACTAAAGATCTGTTAAATTTGGGCAAATTTTTGAATGCTGCCACATTGTTAAGAAAAAATAATATCGATGTATAACACTATTTTCTTCTATGTATTTTTTACGTTCACTCTCTCTGTATGATTTTGTTTTCTTTTTCCTTAATTAAAAATAAATAGCATGATTGTATTATTATTCTGATGAGCCAATTGGCTTAAGGAAATAAAGAAACTTGAAACATCAAGTATACATTAATGTCGATTGTCAAAGAAAATTGTTAAGATTGAGATCTAACTTTTCACCTTCTTATTTGTTGAACCTTAGGCATTTTCTCGGCTTGTTCGCCTACCCTATCAAATAATTTAGCATTAAAATAAAGAACGAGGGCGCTTTAGATTGGCATTCGGCAGGAATCAGGGCACACTTGAAAAGTGAACACTTTATAAAATTGTTAAATCAAATTTTTACATTCTTTGATGTGTTATGTTCCTATGAAATAGGAAAGGAAATATTTTCCCTATAGTGTGTTTTGATTTCCTTACAAATAACTTGAAACATTGCTAGATGAGTCATTTAGTACAAAATTTTACATTTTTAAACACGTTTTTCTAAAATTTGCTATCTCTGGGTCATCTCTCCACGATTTTAAAAAGACATTTGTGTGCATTTGCATTCAAAGAAACGAACAAACATTCGTAAAAAATGGAGAGAAGACCCAGAGACTATAAAAAATTAACTTTTTCCCAAAAAAATCCCAATGTATAAATGCGTTGCTTCTTTGTCATTTTGAATTCTTTGATGTTTGTGTAGCGATGATAGCTCAGTAGTATGCGTTATCAGTCCAGCACACTAAGGTGTCGAGAAGTTTTTGGTTCGATCCTCGAATGGAGCATTTTATTTTTTTTTATTTTTTATACACACAATCAAGTTGTTTATCAGTTGAATTTTTACTTACTGATAAAAGTTTTACAAGAGATAAATTTTGGTTCAGTTCCAAAGGCAGCGAAAGCAATTTTTCAAACCTACTGAAACTTCATTTCATTTATCATATACCCTTTTATCTTGTTAAGTGTTTATAATTTATATGAAGTATTTCTGTGTTATCGTAACTATTAAGATAAGTAGACCAGAATATTTCAAATTTGCAAGCTATTTCAATTTAAATCTAAACATTTTCCTATATATGTGCGTAACTTTGTAAGGTCTGTCCACTTACGGTCAGTCGATCAAATCGTGGACGTTTAAACCATAGATGTTTCGTACACATAATTCCTGCAGATCGCATGCAAAGTACGCCCATCTTCTTTTTGAAATTAATTTCCACAGATAAACATAGCTGATTTTGATTAAAAAATAGTATATATTCTTGCATAGCAAAGAAATTTATTTCCATCATCGGTACGATTAAAAAAGGAATATGTGTTTATTGTTTTTTAGCACGTGGTGTCCATATTCCCCAAAGTAGATTCCTGCTTTAAGAAAAATCTTTCTTCCATACGAATGTGTGAAGCTTTGTTAAAATCTTAAAAAAAAAGTACAGTTTTATTTCTAAAATTTGTTGTGGTATTTACCGGAGAATTCCTGTAAGTTCAAACTTAAAATCCTCCATAAATTTTCAACAAACTAAAATATTCAACAATTTATTGAAATCATTCTGTTACAGCTTGTCAGATATCAATGAAAAGAAAGTTGAGAGCTAACGATCCTCTATCTCTAAGTGAATTTTTTTCTGTTACCATGACAATTTCCAATCGCAACTTCTCGGGCCTTTCCGACGAGGTTGTTTTTCCGATCTCTTACGGAAAGACCCGAGATGATGCGATTCTGAAAATTTGTGAAAAATTCAAGATAAATCAATGTAGTAGAAATGAATTGATATTTTTAGATTTATCTCTCTAAATAGAGGATCATTGCTCCCTAAGATATAAATTATCACTGATGAATAATAAATTGGTAATTAAAAATGTTATAATGATATGTACGAGGGTTGTTCGGAAAGTTCGTGGACTTCTGTCATCTTTTTTATTTAACGTCATATGTTATCCAAATTTGGTAGAAATATCTTAACAATAAATTTAAATGATTTGTATTAAATTTTTCAAAAATATCGTGATTTATTTAAAACTTATCCAGAATTAAAAACTGCAAAAATCGGATGGCGGCGCAGGTCAAAATTTAGTAATTTACAAACAATACACTAAATAATGTCTGTAGTCATCTTCTCTGTAAAATGGAGCAAAAACGAAAAAATCCTAGACGGTTAAATTAAGAACTGTTACATCGGTTCGTATTCCAAATTATGGCTTAATATTTTGCTTCGGTAAAAAGAAATCAATTTGAGAAGATAGGTAGTCCTCATTGAAAACGACAAAAACGATGACGTTGTAGAACGTCATGGAGCAGCAGAAAACGATGCAGTTTTGTGTTATACTTGGGGATAATCCTGAATAAACGCTATAAATGTTGGTGGAATCAGAAACTATGCCACAAGCGAGTCGTGCATGTGTGTGTAAATGGTACATGCGGTATTTGAGTGACAGAGACTCTGTATCGGACGAGGACAATCTGTGAAGAAACGGTTTAACTGTGAAAATCTGAACAAAAACTTTTGAAAGTTGGGACGTCATGAAAAGACGTAGGCGCTTCAGAGTTGCTGATCTTGTGAAAGCACAGTTAAGCGGTAAAAGAAATTAAACATTAACAAAGGAAATTATAACACGAGAACAATTGTTAGAAAAATAAATGTCAAGTGATTGAAAAAAGTTTTTAATACGTGGGTATTGGACTATACCGTGTGAATGTATAGGGATAGAATTTTTAAGAAACTCTTGACGCTATGTTTTTGACGTTACATTGCTTTTAAGTGTGCGCCGTGCTTACAAAACATGTTGATTTTAAAATGAAGTAAATTAATTTCTATCAAATCGAATGGAATGAAATTTTACAGATCAACAAAACAAATATTTTTACACATGATATTGTGCTTATTTTAAATTTCTTGGAAGTAGTATAACAAAGATTGACATCGTCCACGAACTTTTCGAACAACCCTCGTAATTGAATATGCATTAACAGATTATTTGCACATTGATTGTAAAATTAATTCATATTACAGTGTTGTAGATAAAAATAAATTTTTGATAGTTAATCAAACATTCAGATATTAACAATAAAAAAGCCTAAATAACAACGGTTGAAATGTCAGTAAGATCACTAGCTTGAAGAGATTTAATGCAAACACAGAATGCATTTAAGCAGAATAATGATGACTTCAATTATTACCTATTGTTAATTCAATTATAATTGATACGGCAATATAAATAAAAAAAAATGTTCTTGGCTTTAATAAACAATGAACCCTCTTTTATTCCAAAAAGCAAATAAAAGTTGTATATTTTCCGCACATTACACAATGTTTCTATCACAGCATTAATTTGATAGTTTGTTATACTTATTGTCTATAATAAATCTAAAAACATAAATAAATGTTATATCTTGATCACGAATGTTGAAATTAGAAGTCTGACGAGACTGTTGCTTTACTTGTCTGTATACTTATAGCAAATGAAGAAAAAGGTAGCACGAACTAGAAAACTAGAAATATGACAACAGCAAGTAACAGAATAATGAGCAATGATTTAGTCTCTTTGTGTTGCAAATTTTATTACTATCTTAAACTGTACGATGAGTACCCTTTTGAAAGAAATCACAGAAAAATTTCTATTTATAATACCATGGCAAAACTATTCATAAAAAAGAATTATGTATCTCAGTGTAGTCTTCTCATGTAAAAAGTTTTATTGAAATCAGACCAAACATGTAGAAAGAGTAACGTTAAGAAAGAATTTCACACAATTTTACTTGATTGATTAAGAACGAACATTTTCATAACACATAACCCCCCCCCCCTCCCCAGTAAATTATAATCACATCAGCTTTTATATAAGTATGAATTTGCTAAATAACAATTTCACTTAAATTTTCCGTTTTCAATTGATTTCTATTACAGTCGAACATGCTAGTTATCTTCATAATTCATCACTCCGATATGTTAACGTTGAAAATCAGTCCGGAGGTTTGACTGTATACAAGACACTGTATACTTGTTCGCATTTTTTTTTTGCTTCTTTCAGTTACCTGAATATATAACAAGTGATATAAGTAAGTGTAGCAAGTTGTTGTAAAAAAATTAAAATTCATTATCGTTAGTTTATGTCATTGATTGATGTTCAATATCATAGATAGGTATTTTCAACATCCATTTCAGTTGATTGAATATATTTTTCGTTTTCCTCAAATGCCCGTTTTATGAATGAAGTTGAAGGCAACTGCTGTTTTAAAAATGTTGCCCATGCCTGACACACTTGCTCCTCTGAAGATTCAAACGTCACAGCTTTTCTTCCAAAACACTGTAGTCTTAATCCAGAACGACCTATAAATGGGATGAATTTCAATCTAAACATATCTGCAATCATTTACTAAAATTACATTATTTTCAAGCGTTTAAACTATTTTACCTATTTAACTAGATCTAGATGTTTTTACATCTATCAATTTCAAACATTTATGTCTCTTACCCTTGTTGCACACTCATTTCGGTATATAAACCTTTGTTATATTAAATAAAACATTGGACTTAATATTTTGGAAAGAAATTATCTTACCATTATTTTGAAACATGTTGACGTCCATTATTTCTGTCAATTTTGTCTGTTTGTCTGGATCTGGACCCCAAGAGACGACTGGCGGGAAACCCTGTTTTACTTCTAGAAAAACTTGTTTTCGATTGCCGTTGTCTTTTACCAGAAGAAAACAAGCTTAAAAGAGAAAAAAAAAAACTTTTCCATTAAAATAACCATTTTTCTGAAGTATAGTAAAGTCATATATGGAATGTCTTATTCTCACCTTTAGGAGATGATATTGGACCTCTTTCTAATGTGGTCTGCAAATGCAACTGCTTCAAAGTTTTTGTGTGTTTCTCGGAAAGCGTTTGGATAATATTCAACGCAGACTCAGTCAATATGGATGCAGTGTACGAGGAAACACGTTCTGGACAGAAATGAAATTCTAACACCAACGTCTGTTCCATCTTATTGTGTAGTGCATAGAGCAGTGTTTCAGAAATCGGATTTTTTTCGATATGTGTTGATTTTAAGTTGACATATTGTTGATCAGCTACATCAATTGTGTCGAACAGAAAAGAATGGGTTTTGTGTAATTTGTCATCGAATTCTTGTAGCTCGTTGATGGCGGAAAAAGTATAAAGAGAGTTTGAAATTCCTTCCTTCACCACCTGTTCATTTTCATTTAGTATGTCATGTATTGTTACTCCAGGTTGAAAAAAGTTTGGGGATACTAATGGAACATTGTTAGCACAAGATAGAATCTGTTCCTGACATTCCGGAATCCGCGAACGCAAGTCAACCTCCATCAATATGGGGACTCTTTCTACATTAGTTATTTTATGCAGAGCAATCTGAAATGCACTGCACACGATGTTGCACATTGTCCATTCATTTTCACATGAAAGCTCTTTAAGATGGTCGACATCAGTCAATGGAAGCAATATTTTACCCTTATCGTGTTTAGGCTCCAAGAGGGGAAATTTGGATTTCAAACTAGCTGATGTTGTACACAAACAAAGACGGTGCTTCCAGTATTGTTTAGACTTTTCTTCAACAGCGTGCAATTTGCTACCATACAATGAAAGAAAATCAATGTTTGCTTTATCAAGCCAACCAGGAACAGTATTTTTCGCAATGACATATGTTGCAATTTTTTCCAAATCCCTCTGAATAATCTTCCCACAAAAGGCATCAAAGTACGCCCCGCTACAAGACATATGAAGACTTTTGTTATCATCATAAAAAACAGAGAAAGGCGTGTCTCTATTTTCCGTAAGTTTTGTTTGGAGTGCTTCCATTGTTTGACAATGCTCAAAAGGAATAATGAAATCTTCAACATCCACAATATTTTCAGATGAATCTGTTTGTTCGTTTACTTCAGTGGCATTACCACGTAGTGTTGGATTCAATCTGGCGAAGAACTGCATTACCTTTCTCCAGAATTCTGGTTTATTTGTGGAGGTGGATATTGAAAAGGAGAATAAAAAGAAAGGTTGCTGCAACTGGGCGTTCTCAAGATATTTTTTAACCTTTGAAGTACTCTCTGAAATATGTCTGTCACTAGGTAATTCATCCGAGGTGTTGTTGGAAATCTTGTTGGCAAGAAAATTGGCTAGTTCTTGTATGGAAAATTCACTTGACAACAAGAGCAAAATAGGAATTCTTACCTTTGTTACTGAATAAATTGAGTTTATGATCTCGATAGAATTTTGTGAGTCTACCCCAAATTGAGCCAGGGTATTTGTATCTTCAATTTCTGAAACATCAATCATCAGAACTTGTGCTGAAATTTGCTTGATAAGTTCTACCATGTTTCCACCGTAATCATAACTTGTTTCTTTCTCAGAAACAGCCATTGGAACCGATTTTTCTTCAGCAGAGATTAGTCCAGCATATTTGGACGCCGTCCATTTTAAGTTATTTGCAGTCAAAAATCGTTTGATGTTAAAATCTACAAATATTCCTTGAATTTGATCCGACAGGAACATTTGTGTAAGTGAACTGCATATTTGTCTGGCGGACAACAAACCAATTCCTTTGTGAAAAAAAAATGTCTTTTAACGTGGGATCTGATCCCATTCCAACGTCCAAGGCTCCCCAGTTAATGACCTGTGCTGGTAGTCCTAATGATCTTCTGTAAAACGCAAAGCTGTCTAGAAATGCGTTGGCTGCAGCATAATTTGTTTGAGAGTAGTTTCCAAACACAGAAGCTACACTGGAGTGCATAGTAAATATATCAAGGTCCATATTTTTGGTAAGGTGATGGAGATTCCAAGTACCAAGGACCTTCACTGATAGAGGCAATTCAAATTTTTCTTGCGTCATTTTTGGTACAGTGTTATCATTAATGACGGCAGCGCCTTGCAAAACACCACGAATTGGAACGTTTGGCATTTCATGTTGAACTGACCGAATAACTTTCGTCAGATTGTTCAAATTGGTGATATCAACTTCTTTGTGAATAATCTCAACTCCATGCAGACTCTTTATATTGTAGATTCGCTTCTCTATTTCACTGGAAAGGGAACGCCTTGACAGTGATACTATTTTCTTTGCTTTTCTTTTTGATAAGTATTTTACAATCAACCAACCTAAGCCTGTTAGGCCTCCCACAACAACATAAGCACTATCATTTCTGATAAGAAATTCCTTAGGTGTCCTTATCTCAATATTCTTGGAAATTTCTGTAACATTCAACGAGCTGTCATGCACAGGAAGATTGTTTCCATTCCTTTTCTTCAGTACAGACATTAATACTCGAGATGCCCTCTGCAATGCAACACGTAGCTGCTTTGCTTTAAATAATTCGGTGACATCAATCACATGAAACTGCATTGAACGATTTGAATCCATGGACAAATTCATTGGTAAAATACCCCTTAAAGAGATACACTGTTTCGCATTTGGAAACAAAATTCGAAATATATCTTTTTCTAGATATCCATCAGCTGACAATACAACTAGTTCTGTTGCATTAATGTTTTGCATTTTCTTGCCACTGGTATTCTTCATGAATGATATATTGCATTTTTTTTCCTTGAGCAGGACGCAGAGAAAATTAGATATTGCCAAAGTTTTCTGATTGCAATCAATAAGCACGTTTGTTTTTTTCTCTACAAGATCAGCAATAGATAATGCAATGATGACAGCATGCATATCTCCTAGTCTGTAGCCGTTGAAGCTTGATTTTGCAAAAACACAATGTTTGTCAATCATCATTTCTGTTTTAAGTTCCATTTGACAGCAGACAATTACTTCAACATCTTTGTTTCCAAGCCTTGTAAAACCAAGAATTTCACATACATTTATTTCTTCCCCGTTGATACTGGCGTCTGAACAACACAGTTCTGGAGTATTGTTATTGTGAATGAAATAAGTGTCTTCTGTACATGGAAGTCCATGTGTTGGTTTTACGCAAATTGCATGCATGTTATCAGATTCTAAAGAACAAGGGATGGCAAAGAAAGATGATTTATCACTCTCATATTTTTGTCGTATAGAAACAGGTTGAGACACCTCTTGGAAGCTTTGCTTATAGGATCGTGCATGGAAATTTTCAGATAATTTTCTGAGTTCATTTGTGTAAAGGACATTTCCTCTGATAGCATATTCATTTGGAACTTGCCTGTTTCCTGCATATAGCCCTGAAAACATTCTACTGATAATCATCAAGGAGAATTCATTCAGACTGTCTATATCTAACAAAGTGAAAGAAAGTTCTGTTCCTTCATGCGACACTGCTCGAACCATTCCCCATAACTCTGCTCCCATTACACACGTTTTCAGGGATTTGCAAGGTTGTGTTTCATTTGTTATAACCAAGATGTGCGATTTCGTTTTGTAAATTGATTTTAATAGTTGAAGAAAAACTTGACTCGTTTTTCTGACAGTATCATTAAGCCATCTCCCAGTCGTATTTTCATCGATTCCTGGAAGTCCAGGGGAAAATATAACAGAAATGTTCTGCATTTCTGCTTTCTTCTGGAGAGTTGAGAATTCATTATCATATATTTTTGTTAAATTCAAGGAATATATATCTATATTCCCAAGCTCTTTACGAAATGTGTTTTCTACAAGAGAAAGATATTCAGTGTTCCAAGAAAGTACAAAAATGGTGTTTTCTGGAACTGTTTTCTCTTGAAGTTTGACTGGTTTCCAAGTTTCATGGTATGAGAAAGAATGTATGTCATCCGGTGAATTAATTTTTTCCACCTCAAAATTCCTCATTTTCGCTACAACGCTTCCATCTTTTTGTAGTAAGAGTATGTTAAAAGACGCATTTACTGCGTTGTCATACACAAGAGTTGTGTAGCAAATCATGGATTGCGACGGTCTTTGTCTCACAACTAAATGGGAGACCCTTACTGGCAGAATTCTGGCTTTTTTACCTTTTCCATTACTGACATTGATTCCGAAACATGACTGAAACATAGTATCTAGAATAACAGGATGCATGCATGTTCTTGGAATTTCTTTCATCACCTCTTGTGAGAGACGGATTTCACAGATGGTTTCATTGTCACGAATCACACACTTTTTGATGGTTTGATATAAGGGACCATGTTGAAATCCCAAACTTTGCAACATCATATATACAATTCGAGATTCAGGCTCTGTGCTTAGCAATGAAATGAGTCTTTGAACATCAATAGTGGGTTCTTTAGGTGTCCTAGCCAGAATTATCTTTCCTGATGACAATGCAGACTTATTTCCCGAAGAATTTGCATCAAAATAGATCACCTGATTGTTTTCTTCTCTTGCTTTAACTACTAAAGACTGCTCTGTGTCTTTGACTAAAAGAGCCCTATTGATAGACCATGAAATCTCCAGTTCTGTAAATTCGCTGTTTGGCACGAGATAATGTCCAATTTCAAGACCGATTTCACCATACAGGGCACCAGGTACAACTGTGCTTCCATCCACAACATGTTGATAAATGAATGGAGTATTTTCTTGACTTATCACGACGTTAAACTGCTCTGAACTCCCAGGGACACGTGAAATTAACATCTTATTTTGATTAGCTTCCTCTCCACTGAGCAAGCTGCGAAGTCTCTCGGATTTTACAAGATGCTTTCTCTTGTTGAATTGATATTTGGGAATTGAAAGTATGTTAATCGTTCGCGGTACAACGTTTTCCCATGTCACTGGAATGCCTTTTCCAAAAATGTCAATGAAGGATTTTCGAAAAATCTCTATTTCGTTGTTTTTTTTCATAGAAGGGAGAGACTCTTCTACTGTGTCCGGGAATATGCTTGATAAATGCGCTCTCAATACTGGGCTTGGTCCAATTTCGAGAAACAATGCATGGGGGTTCATCTTCTTTGCTTCTTGTATTGCATGGCGAAAAAGAACTGGTTTAAATACATTTGCCGCCCAGTATGATGGGGACCCGAACGATGTATCTGCCAATCTTCCAGAAACTGTTGAAATAACTGTTGTTTTGGGAGTTTTCCATTCCAGACCTGTTAAGGTTTCTTCCAATTTTAAACTTGCTTCTTTAGTTAAGTGACTATGATATGCACACTTAACATTCAAAGGAATAATTTTTGCATTTTGACTAACTAGTCCTCTTTTCAATTCTTCAATGGCGCCCTTGTCACCGGAAACAGCACACGAATGATAACTGTGATATACTGCTATGTTTGCTTTTCCGCATTTGAGGTTAAAGCATTTTTCCTCTATGACTTCAATGGGATAGTTTTGAATAACTATCATTTTCCCCGCACTTTCCTTTGATAGATTAAGCGAGCGAAAATAAATAACTCTAACTGCATCTTGTAGAGAAAGTGTTCCACTTGCATATGCAGCTGCAACTTCCCCAACGGACTGCCCAACAATGGCGTCTGGACAAATACCAACATGCTTCCAAACCTCTGTAAGTGCTATCTGGGAAGCAAAAATTGCAAGATGATTTTCCAGAGGATCTGAAATATCTCCTTCATTTTCAAAGAGAGACTGCACTGAAACACTGGTCAAAGAACACAGAAAATTATCAATATCTTGTATAGTTTTCATAAAAATCTGATCCTGTGTGATAAATTCTTTGCACATCTTCCTCCAAGTTGTACCGACACCACAATATACAAAAATGATTTTTGGTTTGTCTTTTCCAACGACTTTTACTGGTAATTCTTCTTTTACAAAGTGGTCAATTTCTGTGACTAATTCAGACATTTCTTCCACGACAAATACTTTACGAAATTTGTAATGGCTTCTGAAATGCACAGATGTACTCGAAAGATCTGCTAGTGTGATCTCGTTCTGAAGAGATATCACCAGATGTTTGGCTAAATTGTACAATGCAATCAAATCCTCAGCGGATAGGATTATATACTTTTTCAGACTTAGACACGTGTTCATGTTTTGGCTATCCGATTTGTCTTTTCTATGATAGCCTGTTATAACTGCATGTGAATTGGTACCACCGAAGCCAAAGCAATTGATAGAAGCTATTCTCCTCCCTTCTCATTTTGTGACCATTTTCTAACCGACTGACATACTTTTAGCTTGCACTCTTTGAAAGGGATTTTTGGATTCAATGATTCAGCATGAATTGATGGAACAAAAAGTTCTTTTTTCCATCATCAGGAGTACTTTGATTATAAAGCAGCCGCACCTGCACCAGATTCTAAGTGCCCGATGTTTGTTTTAACAGAACCTATCGGTATTTCTTGCGATGTATATTTCGAAAAGAAAGCTCCTAATGCGTTTACCTCTGTATAGTCTCCTACAGATGTCCAGGTTCCTACAATAAAACAACTGTTTCTTATAATACTCTTCTTTGAAATCCTCAAACAACAATATTACATTTGTTGGAATGAGTTAGGTAGCGCTACAATGAAAGCATATGTGTTAACAATCTACTTATTGAAGCTTTCCACTACCGCGTCTCCCAACATCAATATTTTACTTTTCACCAATAAATACATGTGAACTATACAATTTAAATGCAAAAGAAAATATCAAAAGAAAAACCAGACTGGAGACCATGAATGACCAGTTACGCTAAGCTTTTCTTGGCATTGGCAAGACACGAAACGCTAACCTTTGGCCTTTAATCAAGACCTACAGTGTATAATTACCATACGAATCTCAATATTCTCTCTTAAAGTAATGTATGTAATTTACGAATTATCTCAAATTATTTTTGCCAATCACATTGTCAATATGTGAACCCGATTTAAGGAAAAAGATTCTGTATATAACATTTGATCATTGAAGGTTTAGAAATAATGCCAGTAACTTAGATGCTCATCTTATAATCACTTTCTATCATTTCAAACTTTAATGTTCTAAACGTAGATTAAGGAAAATAATTTATTTCTTCAAAAGTCCTGCATATTTTATTCAGCATGGCGAATGTATAGACAAAGTTTCCGTAGTTTGTTTCGATTTTGTAATTTCAAATATGTTTTGTCTTTTGCAATATAATAATTTTGATAATCGTTATTTAACCCTAAAATATTCCACTTAATGCTACTTACCATGGGCTTCTATGTATTGCACAGAACTTGGTGGAATATTGCTATTTCTGTAAATTGTTTCCACAAGTTTTTCTTGTTGTTCACCAGAAGGGGAAGTAATTGGAGAACTCAAATGACCATCTTGATTCAGACATGTAAAAATCGTACCCCAAATTTTATTTTTGTCCCGGATAGCCTAAAATTAAAAAAATATATAAAATGTTTATCAGTTGATTATACTTTGAATAGCATATGATGCTTTGCAATATCTCATAGAACAAATAGTTTTTCAAAGGAAAAAGAAAAAAAAAGTTAAGAAATTTAAACCATTTCATTATTATAATCATGGATTTTCAGCAGTTTTTCCTTAGAGCATGTACAAGTACAGCAAACATTTTGATCATAAATTTAAGATGCTCTAGTTATCTATATACATGTACAAGCTCTGAATTACGGCGATTGACTATATAATGCACATGTAAACGATATGAACAACAGTAATTCAGTGTAATTAACGAATTAATTTAATGCACATATAACATTTCCTTAGAATATTTTTTTGCATAAATGAAATAATCTGATTTTTGCTGTTGAAGGTTCTAGACACATTCAAATTCATGGTTATTGTGCAAGAGTGACCGAATGAGAAAACTTCCGCGTAACATAGCGAAATCATCCAAAATACCAGTGAATAGGACATATACATGATCACTTGTTTTTTGACAATAAATAGGTTAATATAGGTTGCAAAATATCAGATGAAAAATCAATTTGATTTACATCGGCAAGTGTCTTTAATATAACGATACCACACCCTTCTCCGCGGGCATATCCATCAGCATCCTTTGAAAACGTATGACATTTTCCTGTAGGTGATGCCATCCTTGCAGATGATAAGTTTATAAAAATTTCTGGATCAAGAATAAAGCTGACGCCGCCAGCGATGGCCATTGATATCTCGCCTGCTTGTAGTAGAAATTAAAAGAAATGTATGCCAAGGCGCTTATTCTATTTAAACATACTATTGATTTTATTTGATATTTTGATTACTTGTAAAATAATTTTTAAATTTATTGTGAAAGAACAGTTGATTCCATCCGACAAATGTTCAATTTGCGCGCAAATTTGATCGCTTAGCTATTTCAGTTCCTGTTATTGATATAGGATATGAGGATTAACTTTACTCTCCCAAAACATTTCTAAGGAGTGTATAGTATAGAAAAATTTTCTCCAGTTTTACATACCGTTCCGTAAAGCCTGCGATGTTGTATGTATGGCGACCATAGAGGAAGAACAAGCAGTTTCTATTGTTATCGCTGGACCTAGTAGATTGTAGAAGTATGACACTCTTGCCGAGAGAATACTACTGTCTACTGCCGTTACTGTTGTATTAGTACTGTTTTGTTTTGCTGAACGCAGTAGGCAATCCCAGTCATGATTCATAGCACCTACATTTAGCAATTAGCAAAGATTGCACTTAATTGTTCTAAAAAATGGATAAGGTTTTTTGTCGAAAAAGTAGAATATTTTTTGTCATTAGGTTTTGCCTACATAACAACAATAATACCAATAACAACAAAAGGTCCATGAACCGCAACACTCGTTTGACACAGATGTTTCTACCAAATGCATATGTAAGCAATTGAAAAGCCTCAACTTATCAATCGTACGATTAGATGGGTCACGCGACCAACGAGTAAGTACCAACGATGTTGATGAGTACTAATATATACAACTTATAGCCCTATTGTTCTTGAACCAGTCAATATATGACTATGGTACTATTCCTTCAGAATTTTATTTAGTGTTGATGTTAAAAGAAATCAAATTGCTCGCTGTCTGAAATAATCTAAAATATTGTTTTAAAAAATGAATGAAATAAATAAATTAAATCATATAAACCAAAGCAAAAAGAACAAAGAAAGAACCCTCCTGGATATTATTGGTAAAAGGTTAAAAAACGATCAAGATTCAGTAAAGAAAAAACAAACATTTTATCTAGATACAAATTTCCATTAGTATTACATGTGAAATCTTTGAAGGATACAAATTACTAATAAACAGAATTATATAGCGGATATACGTCATCCTACCAGTTATCCAAATCAATACACCAGTTCTAAGGTAAACTATAGAGAATTATTGTTTAAATTGTTCTACCTGTGTACATGTTCATGTTTTATTAGAAAATTTTTAGAGACAGTAATCTTTGATATTAGAATTTTTTGAAGATAAAAAAAAAATACCATTATCATAAAATTAACCATTATCAATTACATAAGCACTAAGAAGTTATATAAACAACAATACATGAAAGTACGCTTTCAAATTAAGACAACTTTGAATCAATTTCACCAAAATCCTAAGAGTGGATCAAAATTCACAGACATTATTTCGAGACAGCAGTCTTTAGGCTACCAAAAAGACTTGTAGCTATCAAATAAAATTCTTACCGATGTAGACACCAGTATCAGAACCATTCAATCTTTGTCTTGTTATCCCACCGTCCTCAAGAGCCATGTGTACTGTTTCCAGAACAAAATGTTGTTGTGGATCGACGAATTCAGCCTCTTTGTCGCTGATTCCGAAGAATCTGTTGTCCCACTCATCGAAGCTAGATGACAAACAAACTTATCTCATGTACAATATGTAGTAAAGAAAGATAAGGAGAAAGGCAAATGAATAGGAATCTAACGTCTTGCTGAACTATTTCTGAATTTCTCTTCATTGTTGATATAAGACCATAGAAATAAATAAAATGCATGTATAAAAAAGATCTACAAAGAACAAAAAAGCATATAAAATTATATATCCTTTTACGCATTCAAAAAATAAGATTAACAAGATATGTTTGTGAAACACTGATGCCCCCGTATGGCAGCTTATGGCGAAGGTTAAAGTTTCTCAAATGCAAGTCAAAATCCAGGCCAAAAGATAAAAAATGTTAAATTTGAAAGCCCTAGCTGCAACTGTTCAAAAGTTATGGCGAAGGTTAAAGTTTTTTAAAAGTAAGTAAAACATCAAGATCAAGGTCAAAGTTGTTGGCATCCAATGGAAGGTCTTGTCACAAGGATTACATATGTAAAGTATGAAAGCCTTAGCATCAACCATTCAAAAGTTATGGCCAAGGTTAAAGTTTTTCACAAGTAGGTCAAACTCCTATGTCAAGGTCAAAGGGTCAAAGTGGTTGGTATCCAAAGGAAGGTCTTGTCACAAGGATTACATATGTGAAGAATGAAAGCCCTAGCACCAACCATTCAAAAGTTATGGCCAACGTTAATTTTTTTCAAAAGTAGGTCAAACTCCAAGGTCCAGGTCAAAAGGTCAGAGTGGTTGGTATCCAAAGGAAGGTCTTTCACAAGGATTACATATGTGAAGTATGAAAGCCCTAGCTCTTACCGTTCAAAAGTTATGGCCAAGGTTAAAGTTTTTCACAAGTAGGTCAAACTCCTATGTCAAGATCAAAGGGTCAAAGAGGTTGATATCCAGAGGAAGGTCTTGTCACAAGAAATACACATGTGAAGTTTGAAACCCCAAGCACCAACTGTTCAAAAGTTATGACCAAGGTTAAAGTTTTTCCAAGGTCAAGGTTAAAAGGTCAAAGTTGTTGGTATCAAAAGGAAGGCCTTGTCACAAAGAATACACACGTGAAGTTTGAAACCCCAAGCACCAACTGTTCAGAAGTTATGGCCAAGGATAAAGTCTCATAAAATTTTGCAAAAGTGGGTCAAACTCCAAGGTCAAGGTCAAAAGGTCAAATATGATGGTACCCCCAAAAAAAGTCTTGTCACAAGGAATACACATGTGAAATATGAAAGTCATAGCTCCAACCAATCAAAAGTTATTGGCAATGTTAAAGTTGACGACAGACAAACAGATAAACAGACAAACAGACAGACAGGACAAAAACAATATACCCCGGGGATCTTTCTATCCGGGGGCATAAAAAGTCTATAATACAAAAATTTTGCAAAATTTAATGAAGCTTATAGGGAATTGGACACCAAAAGGGAGTAGGGGAACGTTTGGGGGAACATCTGTAACGGTCTCCGTTAAATCAGTATTAGTTTGAATTGTAACTGCGATAAACGCAGATGATTTATAGAGCCATAAGTTATATAGATTTTAAGAAAGAAAAGTTAAACGGTGTATATTACATCCTATTAAAATTGTCCAAGGACAATGGATTTTTCCCTAAGAAGTGCTGATAAGACAACTGCATACTTTTATCTTGCAAGAAGTTGTATGATGACCAAAAAAAAATTACAATTATGATATAGAATTAACTAAAGAAGAGATTGGATTGATTTTAAAGTATAATTAACAAATCATTAAGCTTATGAATGTATATCATAATCAATTTGAACTATTTATGTAGTCATTGGAAATGTAATGAAATCAGGCTTGGAACCCCCCCCTCCCCCCCCCCCAAAAAACAAAAAAAAAAACAAAAAAAAAACAAACAAACAAACAACAAAAACAAAAACTTAGTATTAAAATTAACTTTAACAAATATAAGAAAATTGCATACTTAAAACTGTCCTGAAATATATGATTCCATTCATCTCTTTGGATTCTTATATTGCTTGGCAAATTCCTGTGTTCAGGCCAAAATAAAAAAATACCTTTGTTTCCCTTAACGCGACCGACCCACTTAAATCGTGCGGACTGAAAAGTTTTTTAAATAAGATTATTTAAATTTTTTTTTTATTGTTTATCAACTTTATAAAATACAATTTCATCAAAATCCGTTTTATATCAGAACGGTGGCTTTTGTTTTACTCTCATTTGATGCCCACATGTGGCCACAGAGGGTTAGTTCGTGTTATAAAACAATCTATGGTGACGTATCAATCTTATTATATATCTTTAACATATTATAATCCTACACTCTTGAGACATCTCGTAAATTAATGTACCATGACTAAGGAGTGTTAAGATGGTATTTACAAATGTGTCTTCCAAAACACTGTAGTGCGCATAGCAAAGCCTGCCTCATGAGCAGACGAGGGGCGCTCCTTGTGAATACATATCAATAAATTTTACTGCATTGGATTCGTTTCGATCTAATAAATAGTTCATGTATGATCCTATTTTTACTATATAGGACCATAGGAGTTGTAAATATGTCTTTGTATGATTATTTCATCTTGATAAATATAATTCAGATGTCGTTTCTTTATTCCTTTTATCTGTGGGGTATTAACTCCGTGACTATAAAATTAGATATATGAAACTTTAATAATTTTTGATATGGTTTGGTTGAATTATATATTGTTTATACATGTACACTATTTCCAAACAGTGTTGAAATCTTTAAAATTTGCTTATGGTACGGCTTCCTGAGACGTCCAGTTTATTTTTCTTTAGTTAGGCCCTTGAAAGCAGGTTGTTTCTTTGCTTTAAAATACCTGTAAAAAATTTTGGGCTTGTGGAGGGCTCCTGATTTAGACTTTTACTCGGCACTAAGGCCATTGATCATTAAGCATCAGTAGGGGATCTTTTACGTGCCATCTACATGTATACTCCGACACTGGACCTACGTTTTTTACGGTCTTATTCGACTGACCTGTCTCCACGTCCCACACCTGTGACTTAGAATAAGCTCCTGAATTACGCCGTGACTCCAAAATGAAACACTAAAATTACTGCGCCACGCGAGGCCCTTGATATTTTGTCTGTGTAAGTACTCGAAGAACATAGTAGGTTTGAAAAATGTACTCGAATGTCCGATGGTTCAGTATTTGCGAATCTTGTGTTTCTGTAAATATTCAATAGATTTACGCTGGCCTGAGATATTTCACAAGTTCAAATGAATAATATTTGTGAATAAACATGATAAATTTACCATACATGTTGCTTCATTTGTATGATATTCGGTTTAAAAATTGGTTTCTTTTGTTCTTTCTTATTTATAAATATGTTATTCAATTTTTCAGAATGTATTTCCAAAACTGCTGTCAGAAAAAAAAAATAATTACATACCTACCGACCCAACTTGAGATTTTTGGGTCGGGTTAGGGGAAACAAAGATATTTTTAATGATGGCCTCATGTATATTTATAATTATCATGCAAATAATCTATATGATTCCTGCAATGTTATATCTCAAGAAAGATACTTATTTTACGGTGTAAAATACGACTTTTTCGGACTTAATATAAATTACTGTGTAAATTAACTTTTCGGACTTAGTATAAATTGTTGTAAAACCTTTTCGTATATTTCGGCAAATCTGAAAAATTCTATAAATTCCGCACAGCCTTAATCCTATACCTGAGGCACAGTCAGAGATGGACACTTGATCTCCTAATTGACATCTATTTATATTTATTGACACTTAATCTTTCCTCTTCTTTAATTCTATTAAATACATGTCGCTAAAATGTCACCAGTCGCTCAATAATTGTTTGAAGCTTGATTTCTTTATACTTTCTTGTTAATCCTTTTATTTTATTTTATCTTTGCTCAGTGTGTATGTTTTGATGTTAATATATTAAAGTCTTTTGGATCAGACCTTTAATTTGGTGCTGGAACATCCCAAACTCATGTAAAAGTATATTCCATGCTGATTCTATATAAAAGTACAAAATTATAATGCGTGTTGGCTTGTTGGAGGTTTTATGAATCTGGGTTCAACAATAAGAGAAAAACTCACGGTTGACCCAGAATTAGAATTTGACGGACGAATTCTCCCCGTAATATTTATACTGCATGCCTGTTATCTACAGAATATATTGATGAGGGTATATGTATCTTATCATTATACATCAATTTAATGGAAAAAACAAACAAACATGGGTAATACTTTTAGCTTGACATTGGTTAAAACTATAATGATTTACTAAAATTATGTTTGTTTTCAAACCAGTATCCTATCATTCAAAGGGTTATAGAAAAGAATAAACTAATAAGGATGCTTTATGTCTGGTAATTTATAATATTATATAACATTTATATTACAATTCTTGTGTATTGAAATATTTCTTCATTCTGTTTAAAATATCACAACCGAAAACAAACATCTAACTAAGTTAATAAGTTTTCATCAAAACAACCAGATTTTCGGCTCCAGGGGGACACAGCAATCGAGTTGCTTTGACACATCAAGTCGTTAGAAATAAATATAATCTTTGAGATTATCTGGACATTGTAATTATTTATCTAAATTTCTCTTAAACTATGGAATTCTTGCTGGGATGTAAATTATTATATAATTGAATAATCAAGAGAAAAAAAATTAAGAGAGCTCTTACCTTTTTACGAGTCCAACCTTTCTGACGCAAGTTTTTCGTGGACTGTCTGGATCGGGATCGTAAAACGCTTCAACATTGAATCTGTCAGGGGGAATATCTTGGACGTGATCTTCCCCATTTACAAGAACCCTCCAGAACTCTTCTATATTGTTAGCTCCCGGAAAGATGCAACCGATTCCAACGACAGCAATTGCAGTGTCTTCATCCATTGCTTATCTACCTAAATTCAAATCTGACATGATTAACTGAATCAAACAAAGCAATTTAGTGAATGAATGTCTTATTTTTCATCAAGCGCTGGTACCTGTATTTATACAGATTGCTGCATCAAAAAACTATTGAAAGAGATGATGTCATTATTGTCTGATTGATCATTAATAAAACTCGAAAGGAACCCCGCCTCTTGATTCCTGGAAAATTTTAAAATTATTTCTCGGCGATATGATTCCAAGAAAGGAATCATATCGCTTAAAATAAGTAATTCAAATTTATTTAGATGTCGAGAGCGTGTGCAGCGCATGCTTTGTTCTAGGCATCGACCAAAACAGATAAAATTTTCCTAGGGAACACATCGATACGCATAGATGTGATTCCGGAAGTTTAAGAAGTGTGAATCCTTCCATAAATGTTCTGAGAAAAATGGAAAAGTAAGTTGTCATTCATAATTGATTTTAAAATGTGATATTTATGGCGTATGGCATTTTAGTAAGGTAATTACGATTTATGCTTATGAGTTGTGGAAATATAATATAAAATCAAATTTCTCAAGCTCTACAATTGAAATGAACTTAAACGAATTCGACAAACTAATATAGAGATCAATCTATGCCAATCAATGTTCGCTTATATTTTTTACTCATCAATTAAAGAAATATCTTTATTTAATTCTAATAATTTCAAGATACAAGGTTGTTGAACAGAGTAGCAAAACTTTATAAAAATAAAACTCTTTAAATTATGTTTTATTCTCTGACATAAAATATCAGCTCCTTCTAGTGTGTAAAATATTTTTCCAGTCTCGTTCTCGTTATGAAATTTTTTTTGGTGCTCTTTTTTGCAACTACATATATGTCTAATGAATCTTGCATTTTATTAACTTCCAGGAAGAATATGTCGATTCCTGTCAAAGAAAAGAGCGACAAGAAATGCTTCAGCAATTGCTGTACAAAATATGAAGATCTTGTTGAATCATTTTTTGAACGTCTTGGGAATTTTATCAGCCATAATCCCATAGTCATATTGATAATGTGCATTTTAGTTAATGGCGCATTTATGTCTGGTTTCATATGGTTCCAGTCCGAAAACGATGTTGAAGTTCTCTATACACCGGAAAAGAGTCAGTCATTCACAGATAGGGAATACATAAAACGCATTTACAATAATCTTCTGTAGAAAATTTTCAACCACATCAATTATCGGATTTTGGAATTTATGCAGATGTTATTATTATTTCAAAAGATAGGACAAATATGAACTCATCCATATTTGCAGAAATGAGACAAATTGACAAGTATATAAAAAATTCAATATTTTCTACTGATTTTAGTGGTAAAATGAAATACTTCAAAGACTTATGTGCAATGTACATGGGAAAGTGTGTTATATATGGCGAAATTGTCCTGTCTCCTAAATTTCAGCTCGATTTTGCGTCGGGGAAAGCTACTTTTCCAGTAAACAATGGAAGACTTCTCTCACCCATCTTAGGCAACGCAAAAAGCAAAAATGGCACCCTGGTTTCAACTACTGGAATAAAACTACGCTAATTATCTCCGTCAAGATTCCCTGCTATCATCGAACTGGGAGAGCAGTTTTCTTGAAAAGATCAAGATGTTGAAGACAAATCTAACAGATATTTCTTATGCAACATCAGAATCACTTGGAAAAGAGTTAAAAAAGAATACAAATGGTGACATTCAATTTTTCTCCCTTACATTTACACTAATGTTGACTTATGCTTGTATTGCCTCTTCGTCATCTTTTTTAACGTGCAACAACGTTGCAAATCGCATAATGCTCGGGCTAGCAGGTGCTCTCGCACCGATACTCGGGATAGGATCGGCAATAGGAATAGTCAGCGCCATTGGAATAAAGTTTACAAGTATTGTTGGTGTGATGCCGTTTCTTGTCATTGGTAACAAATTTTTTAAAGCATTCTTTTTAGAAATTAATGCTATTTGTAATCTGCTATTTATAATCATGCAGGTTGATAAAAACTTAATATTATATTTCATTAAATACATTGTTAAATTTATCTTTTTTTTCATTTTGAAGTTACAAAAAAGAAATGCAAATAATGTTTGGAAATACTAAAGCGTCTTTTTTGTCGATAAAATTATTACACGTGTAATGTAAATTGTACAACTTCTTGTACTTATTATTCAGTTTTTCATTAAGAATTGTATATTATCAATTTAACGACCCTCTGATAGGTATAGGCATTGATGACATGTTCATATTAATGTCTGGAATTGCTGAGGCTCCAGCTCTTTCTACTTCTTCAATTGAGGAAAGGATGGAACATATGTTGAAGAAAAGTGGGATTGCCATAACAATAACTTCTATCACTGACCTGCTGGCATTTGGTATTGGAGCAACATCCGTGTTTATTAGCATAAAAAACTTTTGCATCTTTACAGGTAATTTCATTTATAAAAATTACTTACCCTTTGGGCTTAAGAAAAAAAAAAGGCTCAACAGAGCAAAACTTTATCATACGAATAAATGTAGTAACGCTTTAAAAATTTTATTTAATCATTGAACATTTATATAAGGTGGTATGAATTTTACATGACATTTTGTAAATTTTCAAAGAAAATGGGGAAAATAGTTTTGGACAATTGCTGCAAATAAGACATCTTAGATCTTAATGTGCTGTTGACACACGTACGATGTAAATATCTACTTAATCATAGAAAGAAGAATCAGGTCGACTTTTATTTTTTTTGATTTTAAAACTATTCATGGAGATGTAAGACATTATTTGTCATTATTTTGAAATCTTGTAATAGTACCTCAATTTAGTGTGTAAATAATGGGCTAACAATCAACAATCATCAATGATAGATAAAAAATTGAAATCTTAAAAAACAGCATAAATATAAAATCAAACAACAATATATGACGAATATCAAGATTATTACAAATAGCATTGTCTATACCAATTGAATGCTTCAATATATACATTTTGCTGAAAATTAAATGTTGGCCGATGTTGTAATGAAAGACTCGTGATAGATTCGAATACATGTTGTAAATTGTGCAAATGAACAAACGTGTTTTTAATGGCATGATAGCCGGATTGTATCGTTTGATGTCGAGGTCATCCTGTACCAAATACTAATAATTTTTCAACCCACGGAGCAAACACAAACAATCCAGCAGAACTGATGTCTCACTGTCGTGTGGGGTGATATAATTTACGTCATTTACATTATGAAGAATAAATGATATTTTATTACAAATAAACCACATCCTTCATTATTGCTTCAAATTTTATAAAGATTATATATTCAGTCCTGGTGCTGCAATTTGGGTGTCTGGCCTTTGAAGGAGAGATAATATTCATTAAGAAATCTGAATAATGAAGTTTTCATGAATCAATTGTCCTGCACATGAATAAATTTGTTCTTATCAATTCTCCGTCGTTGTAAATAAAATTGACAAACCTCTGATCATGATTTATTAACATTTAGATGAAAAGTACACACTTCAACTATCCGTATTTTTTTTGGCTAAAGTTCAATCCATTTAGATAAAAGATGCTTAATTTTAACACTTGCACACATAAGTTGAAGATATGAAATCAGTGATTGGAGTTGAATTTTCTAAACATTTTAGAAAAATACTTACGAAAGGTATACAATTAAAAAAAATGGGTTTAAATTTATGATTTTTAAGATTTATTCTCGTCGATTCCTTATTCATAAATCCTAATGGAGAAAGATATTCTGATTTGAAAATTTCAGTTTGGTATAATGTTCATTTATAATATCCAAAGCAAAATACAGTTTTCCCTTGATTTAGCGGCATTTATGAACAAAACATTGATTCCATAATCTTTACAAAGCAGTATAGATAAGAAATTATTCATAATTAAAATAAAATTTTAAAAAGTTTAGAATTTTAGTATGGTATTTTAAAATAATCTTGTTTTAGTTCATTTTACTATAGCTGGTCCCTTTGTCAGATTACGTGTGTCATTAACTGATACGGATAAACTTTTAATAAAGTATATCAGGTTTTAAATGTACTTCGAAAACTTTCTACACAAAATTATGATGATCTTTAAATTCAAACTTTGAAAACCAAGATTCCTGTTTTTTGTATGTAATATAAATTTTATTTTATTTATTCGATTTCAAACAATTTTTCAACATTGGAGTTTTGTTCGAAGATAATCAGATTTAATCTGAAGGAGGTATAATTTTATTAAGACAATCTATCTTCACTCTGTACTTGAATGTTCAATACTGATTTTTTTCGTTCTTTGTTCTTTGCAACATTTGCAGTTTCGTGTTTTCTTTGATCATAATTTCGCAATTATGAAAAATGATGTGTTTTATACTCCTTACATCAAAAGAATAAAAATATTTGAAGACTGACAAAGTGTAGAAAATCTGTTTATTTGAGCGTTTCCTTACTACAAAAAGTTCTGTTTAATAACATGCCGGGGAAGTTTAAGGCGGATTTCTTCTTGAGAAAAGGTTTGTGAAAAGTCTCGATAATTATAATTGCACATTTTAAACACTATATTCGAGGTGGCCTTTTAAATTTGATATCTAGTAATCTGTGAAACGCAAGGGAATAATAATTAATGAGACAGATGATAAAGGAACAGCATATTCTTCATGATCAAAATATCATTAGATTTTATCTTTATTAAAGACTGTTGTAGCTACGCTGATTTTTTTTGGTATAGTTTACACATTTATGCATGAAGCAGTTCATTTCTTCCCAAAAAAGTTTCAGAATTTAAAGTAATCTTTCAAAGACGACATTGGTAGTTTTCTATAAATAAAGGAAAAACATGGAAATTTTTTTCTTTCCTTAAAACAAAACAAAACAATATAGTGTCGAGTTTCCAAGACATGCACCCGAGTTACCTGTTTTATGCCTACATACATGTAACTAAATTAACCGAAGACGCTAACATTAATTCACGTTAATGATTGAAATGTCTGATCTGAACTTAATTTGTTTGCCATTTTAAGGTTTGCGTCACTTTGTTTCTGCATCTTTTTCACATTTAATTTGGCGAGGTTATTTTCATTTACTAAAATTCTTTGATAAAGGTTTCATTTTGGTGTTCCATTCTTGTGTAAGCAGCAGAGATACAAGTGTCTACACATGTATGTTTTCACAATCCTTGGTTATAATCGAGATGGCACTGTATGCATTACCCCACCTCCCCCGAGTCAATATGAAGTGTACAAATGCTGTTATACCAACATGTAAACAAATTAAACGCATTAAATATAACGGTATGGTTAGATTTGAGGATAATACACGGAGTGTCGACCAGTGCCCCCCCCCCCCCCCCCCCCCAGACGTCTCCATCTACAGTACACTCAGAATGAATTCCAATCTTTATGGCAGTATAGCACAGAAAGAGAGGTATGTATAGACGTTAATGACAAGCTAACTACTATAAACTATATGACAAATGTGTTAGCTTCATGCAGCTTTTTAATCATCAGCTTCTGTTATTTACGAGTATGTAGACAGTATATTTTTTTTTATTATCACCTGCATGTGGCGTATCTCTCAGTAAGTACTTCGGTACGCCATGGCGTGTTCTGCGTACAATTTATTTTTGAACTGAGGCTCCATAAAGTATAAAACAAAACAAATGAACCCAATAAGATGATTTATATCTGTAATTTACAAATAACAGAGAAAAGGCACATTTTTTATATTTAGACATTTACATTTAGTTTATTGCATTTAGTCTGTTTGCTTAATACTCAGGGACAGAGAAGAAGAATTTCAAAGTATTAATGCATTTTTGCTATATCATTAATAGAACCCTGCTCAAACACCAGAACCCCTGAGCCAGGAGCCATGAAATTCACACTTTTAAAAGAGACGCCGTTCCTCATCATAAATATGTATTTAGTTTGTTTGTTTAATATCCAAGAGCAGAGGAAAAGATTTTTAAAGAAATAATGCATTTTTCATTATACATATATATTCAACAGAGCCCCTTTTCTAGCACAGAACAATTTCGGTAGAGAGCTCAATGTTTATTACAATCATGCCAACAGTTTGACTGATTGATGCTCGGAAGTAGAAAAGAAGATTTTTAAAGATCGCATTAATTTTTTAATGGTTTTAGTCCCATCCCTCAGGGCCAGGGGGCAGGGGCCATGAATTTCACATGTTTTACTCCCCTTTACCCATAAATGCTATATGTCAAAATTGGTTGAAATTGGTTCAGTGGTTCCAGAGGAGAAGCTGAAAATGTTTAAATGTTAACGCACGTCGCACGACGACGGACGAAAACGGATAGCAATAGGTTACCTGAGCAAACTCAGTTGACCTAAAAATTAGCAGTAAAACCATCATTTCCTGATGACTTTTTAAATTTAATTCGTTATAACAAATTAAAAAAAAAGTTAAAATGAAATAAATTCGTAATAACACATTTAAAAACTCGTTTAAAGGAATTCAATGTTAATAAAAATTTTGAGTTCGATAAATGAATTCAATTTGTTATAACTAATTTTTGAATTAAGTAGAATGAGTTCAACAAATCTATTATAACAGTTAAATTCGTTATATCGAATAAAAAAATATTTAACAAATTAAATTCTTTTTAACAAATCTTATATATCCAATTTTTCATTTCAACAAATTTGACTATTCGTGACATCGAAAATATTTTTGATAGGTCATAAACTGCCTTTTGTACATTCAGGATGTTTGTACGGAAGCCTATTTAGGACCTATCAAAAATATTTTTGAATTCGATATAACGAATTGTTGAATTTGATATAACGAGTTTATTTCGTTATAACAATTTTTTGAATTCGTAAAAACGAATTAAATTCGTTTAATCAAATTCGACAATTATGGTCTATAGAAAAATATATATGAATTCGATATAACAAATTTAAGAATTCCGCTCACGAAATTAATTCATCATAACAAATTCAAGAATTCGTTTCAATGAATATAATTCGTTATAACAATGTTTTGAATTCGTAAAAACGAGTTTAATTCGTTATAATAAATTTTTGAATTTATTTCAATGGATTCAACATATTTGTTAAAGGTGCTTGGACACAGATTTGAAGTTAAAATTTTCTCAAATTTTATGTATAATTTCATGACTTATATGTTGCTATAGCATTTCGTACTAAAATATAATAAAAATCTTATTTCCTCTCGAAGTTATTGAAACTTCAAATTCCTGGACGCGTTTGATTGACACATCTTTGCACTTTCACAAATTTTAATTTTTGTTCTTAATACTTAAGAAAAGTGGCAATTTTGTTGTGTATTAATGAAAAATATTAAAACTATAATCCAGAAAATTCAGAGTAGAAATGTTCGAAATCAAAACCCACTCACAGTATTGTCAGTCCGTGCTCAGTGGTGTGTGCAGACTTTAACAATTGAACACACCCGGTGAATTGAAAACATTAACAATAACAGAGCTCGTGCCCTGTTTACAACAACAGTTTACGTTTCACGGGTGTATTCAATTTGTTAAACTCTGTACTCAACACTGAGCACAGGCTGACGATATTAGCGAGGAGGTTTGCTTTCGCACATTTCTACTCTGAATTTTCTGGATTATAGATGTAATGTTTTTCATTAATACACAACAAAATCGCTTCTTTTCATAAATATTAAGGATAAAGATAAAATTTGTGAAAGTGCAAGGATGTGTTAATCAAACGCGTCCAGGAATTCGTAGTTCCAATAATTTCCAGATAAAATAAGTTTTTAATTATATTTTCGTGTGAAATGCTATTGCAATATATAAGTCGTGATATTATACATAAAATTTGAGAAACTATTAACTTCAAATCTGTGTCCAAGCACCTTTAAAATAGATGAAATTCGTTTTAACAGATTCAAAAAATTGATAAAACGAATCAAATTCGTCATAACAAATCTGACAATTCGTTTATCGAATTAAGAGAAAATGTTTTTGATAGGTCCTAAATGGGCTTCCGTACGTTTGAGATAAACTCCCCAGACTACTGTCAAGTTAGACACAGAGAGACAATCGCAGATTACGCAATTACAAGTTCTCTGTGATTATGATTTTTTTTTCAGAGAAAATACGAAGTCTAATGATCTTTTTAAAAATTCGTTCAGGTATTTTCAGCTGTAACCAGGAAAACAAAACATATCACTGAAAATACATTTAAAAACTCATAAATTATTAACAGAGAGTTTTTTGTCAAATAACGTAAGGGTAAGCATTCGCATATAGACCATATAATTTTCCACAAAGGGGCCAATTCTAGAAGAAATGAAAGAAAAAAGAAAGCCAGACTCTCATTGTGGTACTCATCATTCGTCACAAATTTCAAACTTATATGAATTTATAATAAAGAAAACACAAGAAGAAAATAACATACTTAATTATTTACAATACACACTCTGTTAGAATGTCATTTATTTATTTAATTACAAAATGAGTAAGTGTTAGCAGTAAATAATTTTAAATACAAATAATGGACTTTTGCGAGAAGCACTGACTTTTACAGTTGACGGCTTACTTTGACATTTAAACCTGCGTTACGTACGGAGGTACGGAATTGATAATAAATAAGAAAACCTAAATAGTGGTTAGAGTTATGGTATATGGGGCACTTACATTATTTTCCAACACAAGAGATGATTGGAGGTAGAATAACATTACTTAAATTACCTTATTCATGAGAGATAGTATCTCCTTTTATTCTCATTTTCTGAAGGAATCAAATAAATAAGAAAAGACGTTTTGGAAGGAAGTAGTTGGTAAAGGTGCGAAGGGAGGGGTTAAAAGTAGGATTGTTGCCGTTTCCTTCCTCAACAACGTAATATGGGCTTTGAAATGGCCCATTATTATCGTTTTATTAACTATTAAACTAAATATTTATACTACAAAAGAGCTTCCGTATATTTTCCTGGTGTAAAAGTAAGTCGTCGATTGTAAAAGTCAGCGCTTCTCGCAAAAGTCCAATTGTAACAATTTAATTAAAAAGCATTAACAAGCCAATTCAAAGATTCTGTGTTCCCCGCTTAAGGATAACGAAGAAGGTGGAAAAACTAAAAAAAATATGCAGATGAAGAAATAAAAAAAGTCAACCTTAAATAACCTTTTAGCTTTTGGCATTAAGTCAACATGAGTCTTTCTAAAATTAAAGAAATTCATGACCTAATATTTCATTGAAAAAGCTTACAGAAAAACTAAAAAAACTAAAATTATCAATTGAAAACTATGTATGCAATCTGTATTTCTGACCTTGATCTTTTGACCTTAAAATCAATATGTTTTTGAGGCCATAGGTAGGAGTATATTAAATTTCATTGCAAAATCTCAAGTGCTTTTTTAAGATAATATAGTCTTGAAAGAAAAGTGTTACACAGACAGAATTTGTGAATATCTGACCTTGACATTTAACTTTTCGACCTCAAAACCAATATGGGTCCTCTTAAAGCCATAAGAACTTGTGATATAAAGTTTCATTGTAAAAGCTAAAAGACTCTTTAAGATATCGCTCAGAAACGAAAGTGTTTCACACAGACAGAATTTATAAAATTTCTGATCTTAAGTTTGATCTTTTGATTTCATAATCATTAGGAGTCTTCTTTAGATCATAGGGAGTTTCTACATTCATTGCAAAAGTTCAAAGGTGTCTTGAGATATCGCCTAAAACGAAAGTGTTATAAATACACATAGATACAATCACATACCGTCAGATGGACGGACAGACAGACAGACACAAACCAATATTCCCCACTTTCAGTGCACGCAGGGGACAATCAATGGAGGATTAATTATTAGATTAATTTAGTTTCCCTATGTACAAAACACGTAACATAATGTTATAGAAAATATGACAACAGAGAGATTCTTAGCATTTCACTTTACAAAATCATTGAATAGGTTCTAAGTATATTTCTTTTTCAGTATTGTGTATCTCTTCTATGGTACTGTAAATATGAGTTGATGATCTATCATGCAACTCCTCAGGCGAAAATCCATCATTTTGAAATGTCGAGTAAGAGTTATCGCCCACTACAGGTCGACTCTCGTAAGCATTCCTATAAAAGGATATTTTTTTATGAATCAACTTCTTTAATATAACACACACTGCAATTTCCATTAATTCATTAGTGATTAAATAAATGTTTCTTCCCACAGTATTGCAAGTTTCAAATTTTGAAGAAATAAATCTTGAAAGGAAGATATTCATTAAAAAAACACTTACAGATAACACTAAATAGAACTAAATGTATAGTACTTAGTCTCTTGTTCAAAATGAATACACTCTCAGATTCTTATATATTTCTTAAACTAAAAAATGAAATTATAATCTTGTTTTATGCCTATAAAATCTTACAAAGGTGGTTTCTTTCTCTTGATGAAGCAAAATATAACAGCAATCAATGTGACAATAATGATGACGACTCCTACCGAGGATCCAATGTAAACACCAGTTAACGATGTTTTCTCAACTTTAGGTGCATCTTCTTTAAAAAACAAAAGAATGATGTTAAAAAATTACAGAACTAAGCTGTAATTTATTTTGTATCTTAGGCCAATGAAATGTGTATTCTTTTTATGATATACCATACCTTATTCTTTCGTTGAAGTATTCAAACAAATCTTTCGTTGAAAGATTAAAAAAAAATGCAAATCAACTTTTGCGAAAATGTCTCTTCGAAGAAGGTTGAAAAGGAGAATAAAACATCTGCTTTTACGCTACCTTTTCACTTCTTAAATAATGAAAATGCTTCATATTTTCGACCAGGCATACCTTTATACTAGCTAGGTTTTTAAGTTTATTGTGGACATTTTGCAGTGATTATGTCTTATCTGAAAGGGCATCAAAATTTAAGTCTTTAGATTAAATTAAATTAATAACTCTCCAGTAAAAATATGGAATTACTACATCGACATTAACCATCGACATGGAAAATCTTTGTTAAAAAATTTAAAAGATTTGTACGTTTCATGACTATATCGGATTTTCAAATCAAAACTTAAAGAAATGTTTGAATAGTACACTTTTATATGTTGTTAAAAATATCAATATCGATGATAAAATCAGTACAAAATACTTGCAAAGCATAATTGAAGCAAATCAGCTGTTTTGTTGTTGGGATATTAAAGTGCACGACCCCCCTCCTTCCAACAGACACACACAAACATACATATGCATCTTGCAATCAAACAAAAAAGAAATTAAAATAAAGGCTACAAACCATGAATTCTATTTTCGAAAGATTTTGTAGTTATACCTTTGCATAATTCTTCCGTGTTTTCATTCCAGGTGCCTTCGGATGTACACACAATATTTGAAGAAGATATAGTAGATTTGTGACTACCTTCACACGTAAATGAGCAACTGTTCCCAATTTTTCTTTGGCAATCAGATGGAAGTTTTCCATTTTTGATTGTTGATGGACATAATCTAACTGAAAAAAAATTACCAGTTCTTAAAACTGATTATATATGATATCATTCATCTTAATATATTTTCTTTCATAGGAAGAAAAAAACTTACGGCATAAATCATTCGTGTCATAACTCCAGTCTCCATTTGAGTTGCATGTAATATTTGAAACCGAAGGATTTTTTCTGAAAGGGCTTGTACATTCATATCTGCATATGTCTCCGATATTTGCCTGACAGCTGATTAGATTGCCATTTAATATTGTCTTCGAACATCCAGAACCTATTTAAATAACAATTTTATTCATGAAATCAACTTTGAATTTGGCAAAATCTTTCAATTGCTCAATGTCCTGGGTATAAACTCCATAATTCAAAGAACCTGAAACATTTGACGGCTAATATGATTGCAACAAATTGTATTCAGGCAGAGTTCTGACATTTAAAAAAAAAATTAAATTAATAGGAAAATACTTAGTATTTTCATCGTCTGTTACTTATTATCAAAAATAGTATTTTAGTCATGATAGTATGCATTTATAAATGTTTTTAAATTTAGGTATTGTCTTACTTAAACAAATTGTTCTTGTGTCTTGGCTCCAGGTGCCTTCAGTGGTACAAAGTAAGCTGTAGGATATGTTACTTTGAGAACATGTGATTTCACACGATTCACCAACTCTTCTACTACAACTGGATGACACAACAGCATTGTCAATGGATGATGGACAGAGAGTCTCTAACGAGAAGAACAAATGTTAAGGAAACCTGTCTCATTAAATCATATTTATAAACTTACTGATGGTATATCTAGCAAATAAATTAGAAATTCTATTGGAAAAAAATCAGGAATATCTAGTTTTGAAAACAATATTGATTCAATGATGCATTTGCATGCTGAGCAAAAAAAAAAAAAAAAAAAAAAAAACCCAGACACGTAATAGTGAACCATGATGAATCCAAAAAGCCCAGACATATAACTTTGAACTCTCTTACTATCTAAGTAAAAAAAAAGTGAAATAAGCGTAAAAAACATATCTGTAAAATAAAAACCTGTACATAGAGAAAATGGGGATGGAACCCATTGACCAACATTATCACATGTAATCGACATGTTGCTAGCAGGTCTATATCCTGGTTTGCAGTCAATGGTGCAAGTTTGTCCAGGGTATGGCAAGCAGTTAAGAAAGTTCACATTTGGTAGAGAAGTAGGACATCTGGAAACTGTAAAAAAGATATTAAGGTACGTCAGCTTTTGAAAAAAAGTTTGATCAGAACCTCTAACTTCAAATTATTTATTACAATTCAATTTTTATGACATATTTGAATTAACGAATGCAAATTATGCAATATTCAATTTAAAATCTGCTCACAAAATTGTAAAGAAAGAAAATTTATGAGGGGGGGGGGAGGCTATTTCTTGTGGTGGAAGAATGTTTAGAAGAAAATTCTTCAAATCTATACATTTCACTGATTTAATATCTTGGAACTTATCTTGGAACTTTAGCATACATGTTTTTACCATGAGATTTGTTTTCGTTATTCTATGCTAGGAATATTAAATATAGGTTTCAATAAATATTTTCAAATCAAATTGTATACATACTCAACAGTCTTTGACAAAAAATGAAGATATATTTAAGAAATCAAGATAAAAATTACATCGTTTTTCGTCTGAAAATCGTATATTTTGACCAGTATCTCAAAATTTACATCACTGATCCAACTTTTTTTCATTATTTTAAATTACACGATGCATTCAACCGATCAGCACTTATGTCATAAAAAGCTTAATACAAGAAAAATATTCTGTTGCCTATCTTGATTTTTAATACCACAAATATGAGGCTGCATGACACCATTTTCATTAACATATTTTTTACTAGAAAAATTAAAAATCTGTAGTAAGTTATATAATTTGCGTGTTTTCCTTTCGTTGTCTATAAGAAACAATTTCCCGTCGAAATGTTTTGATAATAATCCGATGTAGGGACGAACAATGACCACCATAGAATAATCACCGGGGGTCATTTTTCACCGACAAAAAATAACCCTCAGCCGTAGAAAAAATACTTTTTTTTGTAGAAAAAGAGCCTTAGGGGTCTTTATATATATATATATATATATATGTGTGTGTGTGTGTGTCCTATAAAAATTGACCCCCTTTGAAAAAGGACCCCTTTTCCAACATAGTGATACAAAATATATAACAGGTGATTGACGCCAAGGTTTGAACTTCAATGTTCAATTCTTCTTTATGCCTTTTTTGACCAACACTGGACGAACGCGCAATAACGATGTAAAATGCAATAAAACAGCAATTCATTTACATGAATATTTCTATCTATTAAACCTATTGTGTTCTCAAAAAAGGCTTTCTCTTTCATGTTAAAACTTTATTGCCTCCTTGACCATACTTTATGTCCCTACTGCTGTTTCCAGATGAAGGGATTTATTTTTGTTTTTGAAAAATATTAATTGCAGATAAGAGTAAACCGTCAATTAATAACACGTGTATACAATTCACATCTTCCGAGCAATGTGAGTGCCGTGACAGTGTTGAAATCTTGGTGCTCAAGCAATGAGTAACCTGACGAAGCAAACTGTACATAGCACTGACACTTTACACTTAATTCAACTGTAGAATGACATGGCTGATATCGGCCATCGTACATTTCCCCTTTCGATGCAATGCCTGACATTTATTTTTTCTACTTTGCACCAAAAATACATTTCAAATGCAAAATTAATACTGGTTTTCCTTATGTTATTTCCGATTCTCTCACTGTGTTTGGCTAGCACTTAAGCAAATGTAAACAAGAAACTTAATACGTCTGCTTAAATCATATAATAAAACAATTATTGCTGTTTTTTTTCTGTCAGTACGATGATTTTCCACCATCGAAAAACAATGTTCACCTCACCCTTCGGGCTCGATAAATCTTTTAATTACTCCTCAGATTCCTGATCATCGCATTGACCTCAAAAACAGCAATAATTGTATAATGTAATGAGATCAACATATCATCATTTTTTTCCAATTAGGCTTAGGTGAGGATTTTGGCCAACAGGTCTCTTGATTTATTATAATAATCATTTTTTTGCCCCCTAAAAATTTCAACTTTAATCTACAAGGGGTCATTATTCTACAGGGGTCATTTTTCTTCACATAGGGCTTGCAGATTTTTAGGATGATTATACTTTTTCTACGGGCAAAAGGGTAATTTTTCGACGTCGAATTATGACCGGTGGTCATTATATGAGAGCAAAAAATTACCCCGGTCATTATTCTATATGGGTCATTATTCGTCTTTACACCGGCCGTTGCAACAAATATATACGTAGTTATTTGAGGTTTGTTTTTCGATGTCACAATCATCGCTGCTATGGCTTCAAATTCCGGGAATATATAGTTTGACTTTTGTGTTTGTATAGATTATATTGAGACTATAAAATTAATAGACTTTATCATAATTTGATATAAATATATATATAATTGTATTCATTAACCCTTTAACCCACAGAGACGCATTTGGACGCATTTTCAGCATCACAGATATTTAACTGTTGGCGTTTTCTAAATATTAGGGTTACAACAAAACAATTGATATTTTCTGAAACTAGAGAAGAAACTTAACATTTTTTCTACTAAAAAAATTTTCTGTGCGATGTTGAGAAAGTATCATAAACTTGAATTGAATATTGCATATCATTGGAGGAAGTTGATAAAACTACGCATAAATGACTTATTTTGTGCTATCTTCTGTTGACTTTATCTAAATTACAAACACAATAAAATAAAAAATGAATTCCATAACCTGAAAGCTGGGAATATGCCCTACATTTTTTATTCCGGACATTATAAGGTACATGCATCCGTTACAGAGATATTTGTTGTTGAATATTGGAACTTTTACGAGTAAAATACAAATATGACGTCATCTGACGTTTTACATGCACAATGAAATCGTTCATGAGCTCAGTGTAAAACAAACTGGCTCTTTTGATATATGGAACAAATTTATTAAAAAAAATGAATTATTTGTGAAGAAGAGTTAATGTACGACACGTTTTGAGCCATAAACAACATGTAATAAAAGGAATTTTCCGTAGCTTTGGGAGATTTATACATGTAGTAATAGTCTCTCACCCAACGCCCCGATTGCGTGCACCCATTATATCAGAAATCCCTGTCGAAATTTGTGTCAGTCCTACATGTAGTAGAAATACAACAAGAGGCTGGGCCACATCGCTCACCTGAGCTCAAACTGGATAAAAATGGAAAATTTGGGATAAACTAACAAATTCTCCCTCATTGCCTAATCCTTTACAGATTAGCCGGGATTACAAGTATGTGTATTGAAGAAACTGAAAAGTTGAATCTACTGCTACAACAAAAATAAAACGGAGCAAGTAAAATATTTGCCAGCAAATCGCGCGAAAATAGCAAAATGTGCTATTGAATATAAAAACCGCCATTTTACTATTTTTTAAAAGCTGTGGGGAAATGAAAATGAAAGTACAATCAGAAGTATTCGGAAACTACGCTCTATAATTTTGAAAATAAAATAAAAAAAAAAACAAACAAAAAAAAACGTGTTTTTTCACTATAGAAATGAACGGAAAATATTTTTAAAACATCCCCCTCTCCTTTTTACAGCAATTTTGAATTCTTATTTAACAAATTCATACCAAAACTCAAAACTTGTTGTTCCTGGGGGTGGGGGTAGGGGTATGTTTACATTAAATTACATGAGTTAAACATATGGAAAAAATGAAAGATCATTTATCCATGTCTATGAGTATTTTTAAAATCTGAGTACTATTTTAAAATCTCTTGGTGTTGAAAATGAAAGATCATTTATCCATGTCTATGAGTATTTTAAAATCTGAGTACTATTTTAAAATATCTTGGTGTTAAAAAGCCTGATTTCAATGGATATACATCTTCTAGACCCTTATAAAAGAAGTTGTGATTAAGAGCAATGGACAATTTGACACTGGTATTAATAATGTTATACTGTAATTTTTTAATTTAACGGGTGGTAGTAAATACAACAAGAGGCTGGGCCACATCGCTCACCTGAGCTCATTGGCTAGGAAGAAGCAGTAATCAGTTCAGTATTGAAGGGGGAGGGGGCGAACTTTAATTTAAACTACCTCAGGATTCTTCCATATAAATTTCACTAATCATGGCTTTCCTGTTCTAAAACAGAAGAATTTTCAAGATTTCCACCGTCATGGTAGCTCATTCTGTAGATTGCTCGCTCCGTGATCGGAAGATAAGGGGTTCGAGCCCCGGCCGCGGCTGACCTATAATTCGATGAAAAATAGGTAGTAACTGTTCCCCCGCAAAGCGCTCGGCACTTTGAAGTGAAAGTTACGGGTCCTTCAGAGGAGACTTTAATGACCGAGGCCCATGTCACGACAGGCGTAAGCACGATATAAAGATCCCCAACTGCTTCATGGCCCTGAGTGCCGAGTAAAGGTCTAAATTTGAAGCCCTTCACCGGTATAAGGTGAAGTCTCTATATGAGTGAAAAATTCTTGTACGGAACGTAAAACAACATAAAATCAATCAATCCTATGTTTTCCTATGTAAAACTCTGATCTCTCATTGTAGCTCCACATTACCCACCCTAAATGTGAACAAATTTGAATCTACACTACCAAAGGATGCTTCTATAATAATATGACTAATCATGGCTTTGCTGTTCTTGAGCAGACTTTTTTTCAAGATGATTCCTATATTTTTTCTCATGCAAAACTTAATTGACCCTCTGTTGTGTCCCCATGATTTGAACATACTTGATTCTACAATACCTAAGGTTGCTTCTATATAAATATGACTAATAATGGCTTAGTGAGAAGAAGATTTTAAAGATATTTCCTATGTAAAAGCATTTTATAGTAGAAAAGGATTTATCAAGAGAAAGTTTCAAAAATGTAATTAACTAAGCAGTAATTAATTAAAAAAGATTGCATTGTTTTGTAAGGGGACAAGCGATTTTTCTTTTAAAAATAAATATTCAAATAGAAGAATATTAATAAATACTGTGGTGGAAAGATGCATAAAACATTAGAAATAGAATGACAATTGAAAACGATTTTTTTTACCAGATATGATTTTATAATTGAATTTTTCAAATAAAAACAGATGGAGATAACCCTTACCAAAATTCAAGGTCATAAATTAGGACACATCCCACCCTTACATGTTAATAGTAATAAATGGGAATTCTGTCTAAATATACTGAGTATTAAACACCTACATATCTGTCGTATATTCAATTTTATTGAATCTGTTGATATTAGGGATGGAATTCCTTAACTTCTCTATTGCTGATTCAGCATTCAGTTTCTTCTGCTAGCTTCTGAATGCCTGACTTTCCCAAAGCTTTGGCTTATATACCCTTTGGTTTGGCTAGTCCATCCCAAGGGTTGCTAGGTCATTCCATTATTTCAGGTCTTCAATGCATTTTACTCGAATGCCCCTTAACCATTACACCTAAATATTCCTATGAAAAACTCTGACCCATTGTTGTGGCCCTGCCCTATCCGTGGGGGTCTTGATTTGAACAAACTTGAATCTACACTACTTGAGGATACTTCTATATTAATATGACTAATAATGGCTTAGCTGTTCTTGAGAAGAAGATTTTTAAAGATATCTCCAATATATTCCTATGGTGAACTTTGACCCCCTATTGTGGCCTTGCCCTACTCCCAGGGGTCATGATTAGAACAAATTTGAATCTACACTACCTGAGGATACTTCTATTATAATATGACTAATTATGACTTTGTTGTTCTACAGAAGAAGATTTTTAAATACATTTCCTATTTATTCCTATGTAAAACTTCGACCCCCTCTTGCGGCCCCGCCCTACCCCCGGGGTTCATATCATGAAGTACATGTATGTCATGAAGCTTTCAAATAAGTTTCATCTTTTTTTGCCCAGTTGTTCTTGAGAAGAAGATATTTAAATGAAGCCACCAAATTTTCACGAATTCTTAATTATCTCCCCTTAAAGACTGGTATGGCACTTCCTGTGAACAAACTTAAATTCACCCAAGGATGCTTTGTGGCAAGTTTGGTTGAAATTGGCCCAGTGGTTCTTGAGAAGTCGAAAATGTGAAAAGTTTACGGACTACAAAGGACGCCAGACATTCTTTGATCAGAAAAGCTCACTGGAGCCTTCGGCTCAGGTGAGCTAAAAATTACAAAATGATAAATTGTAATATTGTAATTTTATATTTACTTCCATCCGGTAAATTCCAATATTACAATTTGACAGATATATAATTCAATCACTAGTGAACTCTTGTGTGCAATATAAAAAAAGAGATAATGGCAAAATTGTCATTTTTATTGAATAAAGGGGTGTAAAATATAGGCTGGAATCGAGAGTTGGTGTGCGTAGTTCTTTGCCATACCCTCCCCATGGCCTTCTTTTAAAACTTACTGATGAACTAGTGATATTTTATGTTCGAGTACGTATCAGGGTGTTGTGAATTCTCAGATGCAGGTCTCTGGAACTAGGCAAGTAATTATATTCAGTGATTAAACTCTACTGAAAGTAAATGGGGGACCATTTAATATCAAAAACGACTGGGCATTAATATTGTTTCTTGTAGAATACACGGGTTTTCCAAAAAGAAAAAAAATGGGTATATAAGGCGAGATATTAACTCGCATGATTCCGCGGACATCAAATCAACATTTAATAACGAATTAGAGACAATGTTCAGCAATATCCCTCCTCCTCTCCCTTCGACCAACGTTTAATATATGTCAATTTTTGTAACGTAGATATTTGTAATTTTAATGTGTACCATGGCGTTGAATATATAGTATACCCATGTTTTGTTAGAAAGTTTCCTTCTCAAAATTGCTATTTTTGCAACCATGGCAACACTGTTCATTGAAATAAAAATATTAAAATATTGAATTTTGTATCTTAGTGTTCTTTACATGTGTACCAAATTTTATTGAAGTCAGGCAAAAACTGTAGGAGGGAAAACGATTTGAAAATTGCTGAATATAGGATACTCGTGTTTTGTAAGGAAGTCCCGTTCTCAAAATTGCTATTTTGTAACCATGGCAACACTGTTCATTGAAATAAAAAAACTAAAATAAAGAATTGTGTATCTTACTACACTCTAAAAGTGTACCAAATTTTATTGAAGTCAGGTAAAAACTGTAGGAGGGAAAACGATTTGTAAATTGCTTATAATTACGACAATCAGACAGCTGTAAAGCCAAAGTCTAATACACGGACATTGTGTAATTGTATAACCTCTTTCTATTGAATAAAATTGACCAGTATAACTAAAAACTAATTGTTTGCATGCTTTGTTTTAATAGTAACACTAAATCCTCTTTTATGGAAACATTATTTGTAAATTTGTTTGAATTTCTGTGATGTAAAAAGGTGGAAAACACATATTTTGGCAATTATGGGTCTCATTCGTTGCCATGGCAACCACGACGTCATTTTACTCTGCATAATTAAATACTTCAAGATTTTAACTTTCAGAAAATGTATAGGTTGCTTTATGTAAAAGTGACTAGAAAATGTTAAAATTTCAATTTGAAAATTTTAGGCAGTTTTGCAGAAAAAATGCAAAATCTCTGGTAGTTAAAGGGTTAAAGGGAATACACAGACATTTACAGAGCCATAACATAACCCCCTCCCCCTTCAAATGCCCGGGTACTACTTTTTGTTTTTGACGTCAAAATATATTCATTCAATAAAAAAAAGCATTAATAGAAATAGAATTGTTTTGATTGATAATGATAGAAGTGAACAACAAAATGATGTAAACCTCCTTGACATGTTGTTTGGTCAGATTGTAAATTAACATTATCCTGGCATCCACATGTTCTTCCGCTTGGTGTTGGAAAGCAGAACGTGCTGCAATTACCATTCTTCTTCGAACAAATAGAGTTCACTAAAATTAAGAAGACATTTTATTCTGTTTTGATACACAATAGCAGGCTACAGTCGAAATTGCATTACGAAGAACTATTAAAATGATTTACCATCTACTCTGTCATCTGCAAATATTGCTAAACTGTCAAGTCGACCAAGCTCTGGGTGTTTTGACATAAAAGTAATTTTTGATCCTGTTGATTTATCCATTTTTGTTATTCGTCTATTTGTTACAAAAGAAGTTTAAGATGATATAAAAAAGAGCAATGAACATTACACATGGCATAAAAATATATACGCGTGAATTTAAAAAGGTGTTATTGCAAAATTTTTTAACTATAATTTTAACAGCAAATCCTAAAAATTATTTTACATGGTTTTTTTTTTGATAATCTTCATAAACAAAAACACAAACAGCATACAAGCTTTTAGTCTCTGTTTCGTTCGAATGAACCAATGGGTGTAATACATTTCTATTTACGCCGCCAAAAGAAAAAGAAGGCTTTTAACCAACCAACCAACCAACCAAAAAAAAAAAGTTCCGCTTCTTAGAGAGGCAAGAATTATGAAGTATCTGCAAATAGTTTTCAAGGTCAAGACATTTTGATTAAGTTTTATTTCAGTTCAATCGTATATTTCAATTTGTATTTACTAGAGCTCAGAAATAAAATGGTCTTCAGCGTTCGTCCGCCATTGTTAGGCCAGACAACTTTTTAAGTCAAATTTTTGCATAGAATTTTATGCTTAAGGAATTTGATGTATATGATTTAGTCAATATTTTAATTTTAAAAATAAATTATAAACAATAAATTTTAGTCGAGATAGATCTTGAGTTTTAATCTGGGACATTACAAATGGAAAACAATTCAAATTAGAAAACAAATTGTTATTAATATTCATTTAATGAAGATATTTAAAAATAAAGATTCTGATGTCTTAGTCAGGACTGGATTTTATATTCAAAGACAATCTGAATGTTTCTATTTTAGTATTTGATAATTGATATTGTCAAAAATGTGTTCAAATAAAAGAACTGAATAACTGTCTATTCCATGCAGTGTAAAACAGGTGTTGTCCCAATATTGCAATACTCATCAAATGTGCGTCATTATCAGTTGTTAAAACGTGTCTGTTTCCTCCATTTAGGTCTGAGTACTCTATGCGATTCATAAGCCCATCTGTCCAGTATAATCTGTTAGCTAAAAAAAATCATCGTTCAAATGTTAGATTTTTCCCTATTTAACAATACGGAATCATTTACTGGTAGAGAAAAACATTCTGAACTTACTTTCAAAATCAATTGCAAGGCCATTTGGCCAGCCAATGTCATTTGTTGCTATGTAAAATTTTGATGTTCCATCCATATACGATCTACCTATTTGTGTTATGTTTCCAAACTCTGTCCAGTACATGAAGCTAAGCAAAGAAAAGGATTGAGGTAATAAACGTAAATATCATTTCGTAAGTAATGTTATGTTTCACTGTGTTGTAAATTCAAATATGCACAGATTTAAAAAAAATCATTTTAATTTTTACATAATCATGAAGTTATAATCTTAATGTATATGTACCCTTTTGATGGATACACAACAATTTCTCTTGGACTGTGCAGGTTAGAGAGTAGCGTTTTATGAACTAAGTTGAATCTTTTTACAACTCCAATATAACTTTGACTTGTGGTTGACCCGACTGCTGTATAGTAAATGTTCCCCGTGGAATAGTCAATCGCCATTCGGTCGGCATAAGCAAATCCTGTTAATATCAAGAAAAAAAGTATCTCTAAAGTATGTAAAATACGACACATTAAATGCTACGATGAACTCTTTTCTTATTTTAAATGAAATAATAAAAAGGAATCACCTGTTGAATAAACTAAGGTTTTATTTTGTCCGTGAAGAGTAGTTGACATGATTGTTTTTGCAGAAATGTCAGAAAAGTAAAGTTCCATTGTTGACTTGTCTAGCATTATAGCAGGAGTCTTTTGTATAATTATTGGCAGCTTGGTCACATTCCCTGTGTTAAGGTCAATCTGCAGAATCCTTCCGTGAGAAAAATCCGTCACAACAATGAAATTCGTCGTATAGATATCTACAGATTTAAAATTACGACTTTAATTTCTTTTGCTGTATATTTCATGATTGCCAGTCATTGCATTCCTAAATCCAGGAATCTCTTTTTTAAAAAGTTTTTGATAAATGCTTAATAAACACTTAAAATAAAAAGAAAATACTCACCGCTGTCACAGGTCAAGTCAGTTTGAAGCTTCAGACCTAAATCACATTGACATTTTCGTCCACTTTGTAGTGGAACACAGATATCCTCACAACCACCATTTAAGAAATGACAGGTGCCTGTTACGTAAAAGCATGAAATAAATATAACATGTAATGAGATATTGTCTTCCAAGACGTCTATGAATTGAACCAGATAAATTTTAATTTTAATTTTACAGTATTGTACGAGGGTTGTTCGGAAAGTTCGTGGACTACCGTCATAACTTTTTTTACTTAACGTCATATTATATCCAAATTTGGAAGAAATATTTCAACAGTAAATTCAAATGATGTGTATTAAAATTGATTTTATAAACAATATGAAATAATTTATGACAACAAGATTATATAACAAGATTATATAGAAGTTTTTTTTATTGTATTTTTGTCATATTGTTTATTCAACTTAAGCATCTAGTGTTTACGCGTACTTAATTATCGGAAATAAAACATGACTCAATGCGAGTAAATTTTAGCTGTCAGCCGCAGTTAACTCTGCATCATTCTGCATACCTAGGAAAGCGCGCTTTTAATTGGTTTCTGTAGATGTCGCCCTGGATTTTTCCAAAATTTTGTCATTTACAATCGAGACAATAAATAATGTCTGAAGTCATATCTTCTGTAAAATGACCAAAAAAAAAAAAAAAAAAAAAAAAAAAAAAAAAAAAAAAAAAAAAAACGGAAAAATTCTACACGTACAAATTAAGAATTGTTTCATCGTTTCTGATTCCAAATTATGACTTAATATTTTGCTTCCTTGAAAAGAAATCAGTTTCAGAAGATAGGTAGTTCTCTTTCAAAAAGGCAAAAAAGCTGTCGTCGTAGAACGATACGGAGCAGCAGTTAATCATACAATTTTGTATTGTACTTTGGAAAACTCCAGAAAAAACTGAAAATGCCGGAGTAAGTAGGAACTATGTCAACAGCGAGCCATGCATGTATGTATACATGGTACAAGCGGTATTTGAATGATAGACTACTCTGCTTAGACGATTGTGATCTGTGAGAAAACGGATCATCTGTAAAAATCTTATCAGAAACATTGAAAAGTTAGTAACGTCATGATGCTAGGAGTTTGGCGCTTCACAGATGCTGATCTTGTGAAAGAACACTTATGCAGTGAAAAAATAACATTGACAAACAAAATGATGCTACTGGAAGAACTGTTAGCAAAATAGATTTCAAGTGATAGAGAAACGTATTTAATGAGTACACTGGTATTGGGCAATACTGTGTGAAATGTATAGGGAGAGTATTTTTGAGAAACTCATGTCGGTATGTTTTTGACGTTACAGTGTTGTTGAGTTTGCTCCGTGGTTAAAAAACGTGTTGATTTTTGAAATTAAATAACATGAATTATATTAAATCACCTTGAATGAAACTTCACACTTAAACAAAATAAATATTTTTACATACTATAATATACTCATTTTAAATTTCTTGAAGGTAGTATAACGAAGATTGGCATAGTCCACGAACTTTTCGAACAATCCTCGTATAGTGCACCTTTTTCATCTTGTTGCAAAGAGGAGTCAAATACAGCAACACCCTTCATATTTGGTACTAAAGTGATTGAGTATTCTGCAGTTGATGCAGCCTTTCTCGCAAAATATATCGTATTTTCCCTCGTCCAACCAAAAAAATCCTTTAATTATAATAAAATTCTCTATATTATTAGAAGATGTATGAAAGATATGTTTTTTTTTTTTTTTTAAATTTTTTATAGAAAAGATGAAAAAACAAATGAATAACCACATTTTCAACTTATTACAAATACTTGTATCTAGAAAAAAATTCTTTCGATATAAATGTTGTTATGCCTGTAAATTATAGGTACAGATAAAAAGTACTATCCATATTTGAGTTAAAACGATGTAATATCTATACTACTATATTAAAATAATAGACTCGAATTTTTGGCCTTTAATACCGATTAATCGGAAGAGTACTGTCTATTGTTTTATATATTTTAAACATCAATGGTACTTGAAGATTACCAATTTGTTTTTATTTTTTCTCAATTAAGCTTCGCTAATTAATAATCAACGAAAATTCCTCAAAAAATTCCGGAAATCATCTGGATTTTTTGGATTTTACAATCTTGCGCGTGCGCATTACATTCACGCTAAATCACGGTGTTCAAATCAGAGAAGACAAAAGTAATTTGTACTAAGTAGATATATATTTGTTATTTTATAATTTCTCTAATAAGAAATCATAAATATATATGAACAGAATATATAGCAAATTTCCAATGAAAATTTACACGTATTTGTATTATCGTTTCTGAGTTTATCCATGCAAATGTGATATTGTGGCCACGTGGGTAATCATTCGCCATCTCGGAGACACATTTATTATATGTTATTTACGTCTCTGGCCATCTCAACGGAGGCAAAAACCTCATGATCGTAGGAGCAATATTAATGTAACTACCCGATTTTATTTAATCCTTCCTTTCTTTTATGCTTTTTTGAGGGGAAGGGGGGGGGGGGGGTGTTACAACTCCAGCTAGAATCATATTTTAGTGAAGTAGGCATTCTTTTTCCGCCTAAAATTACAATAACATTATTTTCATTTCTTAACTTTGAAATAAATCGAAATAATCAAATAACGTCAATATAACCGATATTTTAAATTTGAAATGTGTCTAAATGATTGCAACTTGAATTTGTTCGCCATGTTTACTATTACCTTCACTGCTGAGATTTATAACGCGGTAAATATGAAACATAAACTAAGGGCAAAGAAATATTTGATTCCATGCAAAAAAATTCACATTATATTTCTTACGAGAGTGTAGTGAAATTAATAGCATTATTGTAGGCTTATATAGCTTTGTTATGTAAATACATGACCTCTGACCCTGACGTTATATAGAAGGGACAGCCTGTTCTTCTAAATATGTAAAGGTTGTCATGGTAACTACGCTTGATAGGTAGTCTGAAGTCAACCCTTGCGGCCCGTACAGTTCATTCTATCAATGCTGCTAAAATATCGATCATTTGCATAGGCGTCGGAAGCAAATTGAAAGTGGGGTGGCTAAATGAAAGTGGAGGGGCTAAACCAACGAAAATAGGTAAGCCCCAATTTTCAATACCTATACTATGTCTATCTTTGCAAAAAAAGGGGGGGGGCTAAGCCCCCCTAGCACGTTCCACGGTTCCGACGCCTATGATTTGTAAAATATAATCCTTGCATAGTAAATCTCAAAACTATGAGGTGGGACAAAATTAAGATCATAAAGAATATTTATTCATTGATGAAATGAATTATATTTAATCTTAGCAAACAAACTAACGTTTAATTAAATCGCCAAAAGAAAAAATACACCAGCGTGAAAACAAGTTGTCTTCTTCAGCAGCCATGACAGTTCCCATGTGATGTAATGACTTTTTGATTGAAAACGTTTAATACTGCAGTAGATTAACTTTTGTTATCACTAAACAGATATATAAATGTTTATGAGGAATGTATTTTATTTTTGCTGCATTATTTACGTAAAAGAAAAATTCCGATATTCAGTTCAAGATCCGCTCCCAAATTCTCATTGGCTGTCCCAAAATAAAATCGGTCAAGGTCAGTAAACTTTAAAGTTTGGTAAACTCAGACTTTACTAAATATTTTGAAAAAAAATATGCTTTGAATAATTACATCAAAAACATTTATTTTAAAATGTTTCTGATTACATTGTATGATTTCAGTTAAAAAATGGAAATGATATTGTATGATCCAAAAAGAGTTGTAACCCCCACCCCCCCCCCCACCCCCACCCCACCCCCATGAAAATGCTTCATTATTGCAGCAAGAAGTACTTTCAAGTTCATACATTCCTACTTAGGATACCCTTGGTAAATGTCCGATATGCACATGGATGCATTCATAACAATGTCAACCCGTGCACGCACGGGTCAAAGTCTAGTTATAATCTATAATTAGATTTGACAAAACAAGTATATCATTATTACATAGACAGTATTGGAAAAATCTTATTTTTCACGGGCAGCCTGAGGATATGAGTTTAAAATATCTTAGTTTATACATGAGTCTGTACCTTTATTTTTAAAAGAGCAATTATACTATATGCATTTTTGTTACATGTTTAGTCCACAATGTTTATAATATTAGATATTTTCCTAATATCTCAGTAGCATTTAATACATGTACACTACAAAACCGAATGATTAAAGTGTGTCTGTATGTATCTTATATAACCTCTAGAATCCATTTCTTTTAACTGAAATGGTGTTATAAAAAATCTTTTTGAGTGATAACATTTTGGCAACAAAATTTTAAAAAACCAGAACTTTATAAAAACCCATGAGACGTTAAGAAGACATCATCATTGGTACTTGCCTTATAAACAAATGCCCTTGTTGCTCCAAATGTGATTACGCTATAAGTTTTGATGTCAGATCCATTGACCATTGAACTTTTTATCAATGAGTTATCAAGCCAGAAGATCCTAAAAATTTAAAACAGGGATAAAAAAGCAAACATTTTTCATTTTTACATTTTAAAATAAAGGACAAAGAAAGTACTGATTTCCAATATCGGTTCAATTGAATATTTATGTGATACAATGTTTGGTAATTCAAGTAATTTTCTTTACCAGAAGTTCTTTCACTTGAGATTCGGATTACATGCGATGTAAAATTGTGAATAGATATGGCTTTATGGTGGTAGTATTATTTTTGACCGTTTTCGACAAAATACACTCTAAGATGATTTAATTTCAGGAAATAAAGGATAATTTGCATAAAATGTAACAGATTATCTTAGCTGTAAAGAAGGTGGAACTGTAAGCCTGTGTGTTACATTACATTATGGGCAAGGATAAAGATTTAAGGAGTTATTTTGAAAAAGCGAAAGTTTCTGGAAAATGTAAAATTTTTGTGCAGGGTAGATATTGTCCAGCGTTTTGACCGCTACATCATATTCGAAAGCTTCTGACAAGTTAAAATAAAAGTGAATAGCGTTTGTTTTTCTGTGTTTCTTTGTATCATTTTATTATCTAAAAGATAAAAAAATATCTAAAATCTGCTCTTAGTAATTTACCTATGGGTTGTGACATCATAATGAAGCGAACTTGGATTATTAAGGTTGGCAGATGACACTATAGTTCGATGAACATTTCTATTCCAGTTTCCTCGCAAAATTGACTTTGCTGATGTCCCCGATATCCAAAATAGGTAGCTTAATTGTACATAAATTCAGAGATATCAGCTACAAAGTTAAAAATCGAGTTATTTTCTTATCTAGACTTCGATAAACAAATATTAAATAAGTCATAATACTTAAACAAACCCATTGTGAGCGTCGACAGTAAGAGATACTGGTTGTTCAAGTCCTGAGTAAATGGTGGATATTGTCCCAGAGTTTATTGTAAAGGCCTGTATGTTAGATTGGGAAGTATCAATCCATCCAAGGAGATTCGCAATCCAGTCAAATACCAAGTCTAAAAATGAGGATTTATAAGAAAGTTTTGATTTAAAACAGTGTTTTTGATTTGTTTTGTGGGTGCTGAAATAGAAAAAACCCCTATGTAATACAAAAAAGAGAAAAAATCTGTTCGAAAGAGAAAAAGCAATCGTATGTATTTGAAGCTTTTCAAAAGTAAAATAATTAAGATTCAGATAAAAAAAATATAGAATAATTATAAACCAGATAAAAAATGTTGCGTTAGTGTAATATGCTGTCATAATGTAATTCTGTGAAGTAATGTTTGGATATTCTTACCTCTAGCGTTTGAAACAGATGCTAAAGTTCTTGTTTGTTCTGTAAAAATGCTTAACTCCTTTAATGTATTACTCCTGCTGTCCACAAAGTAGATAATATGTAAGTTCGAGTCCACAGCAAAAGTCTCGATATTTGCGGAAGAAATTTGAAAATAATTCACTTTGTCTTGTCTTCCGTTAACAGAATGAACGTCAAGCATGAAAAACACTGTTGCATTGCTAACAATGAAGCCCTTCTCGTAGAACCATGAGCGGTCTGTTTTGTTTGTGTTTTGGTTAAAAAATATAAAACATTTAAAAGGAAAAAATAAAAACAATTTTAAAAAATAAAACAATTAGTAGTAATTCAGTATTAGCAAGTTGACATATTTTGAAACTAATAAACTGATACTAATTAAATGGTTCATTATTTTTTTTTTAACAAGAAATGGTCTCAAAATTTTTATTTCGTATTTCCGTTGTCATTGAAAGGTGCATGATTGCAGAAAAAATAACTTTAGTAGGCTTAGGGTTTTAAAATATACTGCACCTGTGCATGTCATTCCATCTGAGGAGAGTTGGTAACCCTCAGCACAGAGGCAGGTGGCTCCTAAAGGTGTGTTAACACACATATGTTGACAACTGCGTGTAGAACATGGATCTATGCAACAAAGTAGATATCTAAATTACCTATAGGAAAGACTTTTTTCCCAGTAGTAAGTAAAAGCTTTTCAATTACACACTGAGTATTTAAATTAATTGGTATGAAGAGTAAAATTGTTATACACTTCAAGTTCTTCATGACAAGGAGCGTTCAAAATTGATCCTGTTCTAGACCTATACGTTTTTTTTTAACTTTTAACTCAAATATCTATTTTTTTTAACTTCTGAAAATAGTCACGCACTTTCTGCATTACTGCAAACATTATTTAATAATATGACTCTAGGTAATATTTTTCAAATTTGAGGGCATGTTGCCATGGTAACCTTGAAACTTGGCATTCAACAACATGTGTATAACAGTAGTTGTTTGCAAAATATGTATTTACCAGTGTATGTTTTAGAGACCTCTGCATCGTAAACGTGAACTGTAAACGGCTGGGCTTCAGTTACCTTTACAAAGTAAAGTTGTGACCCCGATATTGTGTCCACCCCAAATAAGACTCTAGATCCAGCACTTACAACATGCAACATATTCTACAAAAACATGTGGAGAAATGAGATGACATAAGATGAAGAAAACACTTACTGTGACCTTCAACTCCACATTCAGATATAGCGACAATGTTTTATCAATAAACAAAAGTTACTTCAATTCATATGTCGACTCAATATATCCCAGTATAATCTGATTGAAGAACATCACAGGATCTGCAAAGTCTTATACATATTTGGATGTTTGACTGAATATAGACAATAAGGACCAACTAAAAACTAAACTGTATGGCATTCGAGATGAAATCAGCTTTTCTATCGTCAAATTTATACCGTAATATTCCACTTTCATCTGGATATGGTGTTTATGTCTCCTACCTTATTCGATACTCAAGAGGATGTTCATAAGTCGAATATAAAAGGATTTCAAAAGCATTTTGTAAATTCTCTGGTCGATATATTGACCATGTTAGCAAATACAAACTATCATTGGGTTGTATTTGACTGAAGTACTTCATACCACTTGATAGGCCTTTGTTTTTATATTAAATTTGACTACAAATTAATCCGTCTGCCTGATAAATACAGGGGGCTCATGACGGATGTCACCGGTTGTCAGGGGGTGGTTTCTCCTACAAGGCACCTGATTCCATCTCTCGAATTTCAAGAGGTCTGTGTTTTATGCCCTGTTCACAGATTTATATTGTTTGAAGGTTTTTTAGATCGATCAATGATCCTTATTTTCACCTATTTCATCATAAGGTAAAATTATATTATTTCATGAAACGAATGTTCTCTCTTAAGCTCCTATGATAAAATTAGATGTCAGAGAGTTAAAATATATAAGTATTAAAAAATGTTTTCATTCTTTCATAGATAGATAAAAGAATTTTGGAGTTTTATTTCTATCATTATTTGCAGACCCTACAGAAATCCGTTTCTTTACTCCCTGGTTTGAATTTCAGGTTTTAGTCGAATCTTTATATATTTTATATTTCTACACTTTTCTGTTATCTCAAAATATGTCTAGCTATTTTACCTAGTAAAGCAAGCCGCTTTTAAGCTCAAATGCAATTTTTTTTCTTATCTATTCGATCTACAGAACCAAACTGAATTGCATAAAAATTAATATGAAGTATAAGACGTCATCTTCTTTTAATAATTTGAGCATAAGATGTTTTAAGTCCAATGAAATAAAATTTTCATGTTTTATTTGATCTACTATACCACACTAGAGTTTTCACTTTTGAGTTAACAGTAAATTTAGAAGTTTGGTAAATCCCCTAGAAACCGATGTGTCCTATTCAATGAGCTTTAAGCTGTTTTGTCTTATCTCGGATCTTTGAGGATGTAGACATAGGTTGGTTATGGATAGAGGAACAAAACAGTTCATGATGAATAATATGTGCTTGAACATTAGGAGATGAAATTCAATGTAGTTTGTTTGTAGAGTTATAAAAAAAACATATAGTTATTGTAAAGAAACATTTCTATAATTGTTGAATAATAATAGTTCATGAATATTTGATACCTGATTATAGTGTAGTCCTGTAACTTGAGCGTTGTTATTGCGTCTCAGAACTCGTCTATTTGACCCATCATAGTTGCTTACTTCAAGTGTGTGTCTGCCTATATCTGCCCAGTAAAGTAAATTATTGGCAGCGTCGACAGAAAGAGCTAATACCCGTATCAATCCAGTGTGCACTATAACGGATCTATTTGTTCCATCCATGGAGGCTTTTTCGATTCTTGAATTTGGATCATTGTCAGAAAAGAACATCAGCCTGTTTGAGTACATGGAATAAATTCCAGCTACACATTTTTATGTACATTACTTATGTATCGACACGTTCATATATAAGCATTTGAATACATGTAAACTATTATGCAGACGACATAATATTAAAATATGATAAAGCATAGAAAGAAAAATAATTGAATGAGTAGGCATGTTATTGAATTGTCCCTCACTTTAAAACCGTATGAAAAGTCATGTATGGTATTAAATAGTGCACTGGACAACATATTTCTTTATATTATTGAAGTCTTGCTGAATAATTTGCCTATGATTTCACTTCATACTTTGTTTGTAAAAGTTATACATGTACGATATAACATAGTAATTCAAAAATAATTCATTTTACCCGTCCTCGGGATCAAGAGTTATTCCTTCCGGTTGCTTCAGATCTTGGTATGCAACAATTTTATATATTGTATTGTTGTCCATGTACGCTGGCTTCATTGCAATCCAGTTTAGAAGCGAATCACACCAATACAAATTATTTGAAACATAATCAAATGCTATCTGACCCAGTGCTATTGACTTTCCTTTGAATGCAAGTGAAAAGGAGGATGATTTATTCTGCCAGATGGTAAAATTTTGGAAAGCGTAAATGGAATCTCTGATGCTTGCAAATACAATGTTTTTGTTTGGATCAGAGGAAATGCTGGTTAATTGTACACTGGAAGGTGTAAGGGATTTCGAAACGTTGTTGTAATAGTTTGCAGGACTTCTAGGTATTTCTGTGACTGTAAATATTGAAGCGGGGTCCCACATTCCAATAATCAAACCCTTGTCACCAGGAATTCCTGATATATATATATAACATATATCTATATTATTAATTTTCAGGATGTTTTCAATTTTTGGATATTTTTCTAATTAAACAATGTCTCAAATTAAAAAAAAATCATAGATCGAACACAGATATTGACAATCTTTAAGACTTATTGACACCTATGTTAAAGAAAATAAAATTTAAAAAAATGTTTACTATCCTCTTAAGGATAACTCTGATACAGCCTCTATAGGGATCAAAGAAATGCCTCGGACCCTATTTATATAATAGTGTTGCGTTATCCATGTACTATGCCTAAATAGTAGGCAGGGTTTGACACATAGTGCAAGAGCCGAAGGTAATTTTTTGAACTGTTCCTTAAAATATTGCGAGGTAATACATCGGCAATTGGGCACTTTGATGAACGATCAAGTTTGTTAGTTGTTCCAAAATGATTTAGGATTGGAATCAAGGGAGTTCTTTAACTAAATACAAATCTTTTGTTTGCATTGTCTCTCCTCGTATTTACATCTACGTCTTAAACGAGAACGAAATGAATAAAACGCTTTTCGGTATTCAGCATTAAAAGGGAATTTGTTAACTAATTTTTCATAGTTTTTAACTGTAGTTCTTGATTCTTCGCATGAATCTGAAAACCAAGGTTTTTTGTAATGGTTTTTAAAAAAAATTTCTACAATGTACCTGTTTATAAATCCTTTTAACAGTTATAGCTGATGTGTTGGCTGTTTCAATTAAAACTGAGTTAACCTCATCAACCAAATTGATTATTAACATTATCAAAATCAAAATAAATTGGGGAGGGGGGGGGAGTTAAACACAACGTGGCACTATCCACACATCAGGTGCCTGTGCTATTGTAAATCAGTTATAAATACAGCTTGTTCAATTTTTGATTGCCCCGCCAATCAAAATGTTCTTTCAATGTAAAGAAATTGTTTTTATTAATTATCAAAGCATTTTATGCCTTTAAACATTATTAAAGTAACAAAATATAATGTGTACCCGGTATGATATCAAGTCCAAATAATAACGTTACAAATTAAGCCCAGTATAGTAATGCATCAAGTCCAATTAATAATTTTACAAACAGATCCCAGTGTACATGTAGTGATGCATAATTTATTACGAAAACAACACAGACCATAATTGACAAATAATACATTTTTGAAGCATTTATGTTACTGTACTTTTTATATGTGGATAGAAAGTCAAAGTTTTTTTTTTTTGGGGGGGGGGTGTATCTTATCAACTGGGTCTGAGGAAAGACGGTTTTTCAATTTTGAGATGAGAATTCCATCTTGTTATCATTCTTTCTTTCCATTTATCTTTTTGGAATGTCCTTTCGTCATTCGATCGTCGGTCTATTCGAATGATAATCGAATACTCGACCATTCGTTGACATCCCTAATTAAAAGAAATCTCTCAATCCACGGACAAAGTTTTCTATTTACAAAAATTATCAAATCGAGACATTTAATATAGCAGTCTGTCTATTCAGGACGATATTTTTGTAAAGAATGTACGTATATCTTGAAACATGATTTTGCGATTTGCATGTAATTGTTAAAGATGTTTAACACGCATAACTAATTCTATTGAAAGATTTATTTTTTTTGGGTGTTGTCCTTATGTATACGTACCAGTAGTTAACTTTAAATGCATTAAGTCATCCAAGATTGTCGAGATTCTTTTGAAATGCTTAAATTAATTATAATTTATACGTCTTGTCGTTTAAATATCGATCTCAAACACTCTGTTTGCAGCACTTTAGTTATACTGACGTGTTTTAGAATTTTTCCCGGAAGTTACAAGGGCATTTCAATAGTAATTGCACTAGTTTAATGTAATTATTTGCACTAAGAATGCATAAAAGTTATTCTCCAAATTTTATTAAAAAAAAATAATTCAACTAGATAACATGTTAAAATACATATCAGAAAAGTAGAAATTAGGAAGCCGACATATATTACTACATATATATGTACATAATGTAATGTTCTCTCTGCTTCCTTTTTGTGAGATGGATTTTACATTGTTTAAATATTACTATCAAGCAATAAAGAATCAAATAAATCTAAAATCTATAAATAAACCATTTTTAAGTCAACCTCATATGCGGAAAAAGATCGCCGCAATATTTTTTTCCTGATATCTATTTGGAAGTCAGACTGAAAAGTAACACATATGTTACAAAACTACTTTTTTTCTTCTGCTACCAATGATAACAATTAATGAGCTAATTTTTTTGTCATCCTACTCTCTTTCTCACTTACAAAATATGGAAGAAAATCATGTCTTATAGGAAAATATATGGCTACTTTTTTTATCTTACCGAGGCAAAGGTATCCATATAAATGTATGATGGCCGAAAATTGTACCATATGAAGAAAAAACATTTTGTTCACGAATAAAAAGTATCCACAAAATTATGACGCATATGACCAGTGGGAAGTACAATATTTGCATTGGCAGCTATGAAACAAGGAAGTTCTGTTCCAGTCTATCGCTTTGCAGTATGAAAACATTGAATAGATATGCATAAAAATATTTATTTAGAGTCAGGATTCAAATATTTGGTTTGTTAATTTTAATTTTTAATTTTATGTCCTTCCTCTTTACCTAAGTTTTAACTTTAGGGCAGCTATCTGGTTGTCAGCTGTCTATTTTGAAATCGTAAACTCCTGAGCCCTTTTTATTTCACCTGAGTCACTCAGGTGACCTATTGATATCCGTTTTTGTCTGTCGTCGTGCGTCGTCCGTTAAAACTGAACACGACTCGTAAATATGCATACGCCATTTTCTATATTACTATCTACGATATCAGCACCGGGGTATACTCTTCGCATTCGTTACACCTGACTGCTTCATTGTCACGGGTATCGGCTTGAAATGGCGACCCTTGTTCGTGTTGGTTTTCTTGCATTACCATATAGTTTACATTTCATTGTAGTAACGTGTATTTGTGTTTGTTTGTATACTGCACTGACCTGTGCAACTGTTTTAGTTTCTTTGGTATCTTACTCTCCTGCAAGAAGTACTCAGTTATTTTTTGTCGTTACCGTGTGCTGTATAAGCATACGTCCGTCTACACCAGTGACGATTGATATTACACGGAACAGTGACTAAGTGAGCGGTTTTATATAGGGCCCTCAGATATAGCGAGAGACCAATCGAAAATGGCGGACACATTCTTTTTACAAATCGTGTTCAGCTTTAACATTTGAACATTTTCAACACCTTCTCTGGAACTACTAAGCCAATTTCAACCATGGCCAATTTTTGCATGTAGCATCTATGAGTGAAGGGGAACAAAAATTGTGAATTTAATGGTCCCTGTCCGCCTGGGGCATGAGGGGTGGGGTTAAAACCACCAAAATTAATGCTATCTTTAAAAAACTTCTATACTCTAGACATCAAGTAGTCAAACTGTTGGCATGATAGTAATAAGCATTGAGTCCTCTACCAAAATTGTGAAATTCATGTCCCCAGGGTCAGGGGTTCTGGTGTTAAGGCGGGGCTCTATTGATTATATAGTGAAAATGCATTAATTCTTTCGAACTCTTCTCTGCTCCTGGGTTTTAATTAAATAAATTAGCTCATGCTTATGATAAGCATGGATGCTTCTTCCAAAATTGTGAAACTCATGACCCCTGGATCTGGGGTTCTGGTGAAAGGGGGGGGGGCTATTGATTATATAGTGAAGATGCAATAATTCTTTGAAAATTTTCTTTTCTGCTCCTTGGTATAAAACAAACTAGATAAGTACATAGTTATAATTAGTAAGGGTGCCTTTTTCAAACTTGTGAATTTCATGGCCCCCTGGGTGAGGGGTTATGATGTAAGGGTGGGGGCTCTATTGATTATATCATGAAAATGCATTAATTATTTGACAATCTTCTTCTCTACTCCTAGGTATTATTTAATTAAACTTAGCTCATGGTTATGATACGCAAGGATGCCTCTTCTTAAATTGTGAAATTCATGGCCCCAGGTGTTTAGTATTGAGCAGATAAACAAAATGCATAGTTATGATGAACAAGGTACTTCTTACAAAATTTTTACAATTTGTGACCCCAAGATTAAGGGTTCTGGTATTTCTTAAAAAAAGGGGGGGTATTGATAATATAGTGAATACGTGTTAATTATTCTTGAACTAAGTACGTAGTTATGATGATTAGGGTACTTATCCAAATTTGTGAATTTCCTTACCCTTGGTCATGGGTTCTAGTGTTAGGATAGAGCTGTATTGAATCTTTAGTGAATATGTATTATTTCTTTGAAAGTCTTCTCTGCCCCTGGGCATACCGAAAGCAGAGTAAAAGTTTTAATAAGCAAGGATATTTTTACCAGATTTTTGAATATCTGGTCTATTTGGTCAAGTGTTCTGGTCCTGACCAGGGTTATATTAATTTGTATTCTACTGAGGGAAGATATTCCCTTTTGCTATTCACTTTTGATAATTAATCACTGTAAATAAATTTGAAAGGTTAATAGAATAAGATAATTATGCAAGAATTTTTATGGCATAAAATAAAAAGGACTTTCATAGTTTTAATGATCAGGTAGACTTGTAAATAATAGATAAATAAAAATGAGACAAAAACCACTTATTAAATGTTCTTCAAAGACCAAGAAAGGCATATGCGAGAGGTTATAATATAGGGTTAAATAGTGCAGAAGCACAAATAGTTTGTTAACAGTCTGCATTGTGATACTGATAAATGGGGGACAGATTAAACTTAATTTATGAGTTGTTACTGAATGATAGACTAATTATTTCATTGATCCTGATCATCCTATTTCTCTTGCTTTTGGGCAACAAAACTTCATCTATTAGCTTATTTATACACTATGGATCCTCTAAATTGTCGTATTATACTCAGGTGACCGTCAAGGCCCTTGGGCCTCTTGTTTGAAATGGTATGTTTTGACCATGACCTATATTTTCTACTATGATTTGGACAAGGTCAAGAGTTAAGAACGTTTCTTAAGTTTAAGGATTAAAAACATTTCTTGAATACAATGAACAATAGGCAGGAAAATATGTAATCTGAGTCTCAGTAAATACATATACTTTGGAATGCATTTTGGAATAAATTCAAACTTGAGTATTGTGTATGAAAACTAAAGAACTTGCAGAATCCAAACTCTTACTTGCAGAATTACACACAATTCAATGCACATCTCAGTGTCTATGCTATTTCTAATTATTGCATACTCAATTCTTTTAGAACAAAACAGATTATTTGGAAACTTTTTTTTTCTTTTCAACGAAAAATTAACAGAAATAAGTAAGGCATTAGTGTATGAACATAGATCAACCTAAGTCCATTATCATAACATTTGTTGGCAAATACTGTTAAGAAGTTTCATGATCTCTGGATCTAATTGATGCCACTGCATCCCTCTTCTAGCAGGTCAGACGTCAATTGGTTCATCAAGATCTTTTCCTAAGAAAGTTGATCTGGCAAACTGTCCAGCCCAATAAGGATCCAAGTATCCATATCTTTGTCGGGGGACCTACATTTCTTAGTTTGGGTAAGTATTATTTATTAATCTTGAATGTATTCAATGTTTTAAAATTATTCTGTGGATTTACTGATTATGCAATCCTGATATACGTTAAGAATACAGGTGATCTCCACCTGCTTTCTGAATGTCATCGCAAGGAATCCCTTGTAATGCCTATCAGTAGCCCTGCCAATTCTAAAACTATGTATGCCAAAGTAACCAGATATACCTGAAATTTTAAGTGCTTTTTGTAGTACTGCGTTAAACTGATGTTTTATCCGACTAGGCTCCACTGATGAACAGTATAAGAACAGTTTCTTCTCCAAAACCATCAGAGATTGGAATGACCTACCACCCAATTTACTGGGTATAGAAAACTATTCATATCATTTAAGACCATGCATTTATGCATTCAGCGATAAGAAATGAAATAATTATAACTTAAACAAATAATTATTTTGAATAGTATAAGATATCTGATGAAGTAAAATTACAATTTAAATAAACTTCATTAACAAATAGAAAAAGATCCGAGATACTTCAAATGAAAAATACAGAGATGTTCCGGAAAGGTGTAATAAAGGGTGTGATAAAGGGTGAAATAAAGGGTGCTGATACAGGGTGTGTAATACAGGGCGCGTGCCTGTGTTCATATCAGGGATGCAAAAATCCTGTATTATATAACAAATATAAAATAAAAACATTTATCAACACCGACATTTACTTTATCAAGTTATTCTAAATTTTCTCAAGTCTCAGTACATCACGCGAGAACTGTCATGGCTGCTGAGGAGAACGACTGGTAAACACGTAGATTTATTTTACCTGGTTTTTGCGTTTAAAGGGCTATGTCATTAACAATAAATAAAAAAATCGTCTTAATTAGAAGTTAGTTAAATGTTAAAACAATTTATTTTGCCTGCAGTAGTCCGTATTTTAAAAGTATATTTGCACCATTACTGAGATGCTGTGGAATTGTAGCCCTCTCCAGAAAATATCAGATTTAAAAAATCGGAGAGGGCTACATTATTGCAGCTATGTTAGGGGCATGCTGATGAATTGACAAGTAAGCTATAAAATTGAATAACACAGATGTTTTTATAGGCCAAGTTACTACTGAGTGATTGTAATGAACTTTGACAAAACTTTGGAATTTTTATGAGCAGTTTGATATATCTTGTGTTTACTGGGTGCTAAGGAATTGTGAATTAGTTTTTTGGATTCTGTCATTAGATAGTTTAAAACCGTTTTGAATAACCGTTCATGTAAATAAATAGTTATTAAATTAATTATTCAACTGTGGTTTTTCCCAGTGTATCAGCTGATGCGACAAAGCCAGAACTGTTTAATGCTCTTGCACCTGGATGCCGAATGTCTTCCGCCACATGAGTTGCATGCGTGGTTGAACCTACAACTGGGTAAAACCTGCATGATTTACCTGCATTGTAATAATAGCAGTATTGCGTAGCATTAGTACTAAATGTAGAAGATAAACTATTCTGTGTGGCTAGGAATTGGTTACTAGTTGAACTAACATTGCCTTGAGGGCTAAACTTATTGTGTTAGAATGTTGTTTGTGATATATAATAATCACAACTCGCTGTTAATTTTTTCCTAGGAAGACTGAGGGTTGGCTGCTTTGAGTAAACGAAATTGCTCATCGTATTTAAACCAGCCGTGGGATCGTGATGCCGCAATTCGTACACCCCCCATATATTTTAATAATTACTTTGATCTGGTTCTATATTAATCAAGCATGATAGTAATGAATATAATGAAGGGCGAGGTCCATTTTTCTATTGAAAGATACATGTTTGACTTTTGCTTGACCAGGCACATAGTACCTTTGCGTATTTGAATTTGATCTTGATTGTCTACATAGTCGACTAATTTCCTGGCGGATTTTAGGAGGAGGGATAAATCAATAAACTGGCCCTCCCAGATTTTATTTTTAAGGTTTTGAGGGACATGTGAACTGATAGGATCGAAAGTACTTGTGGTTGATATTCTTTAATGTCGAAATTTGGGCCATCGAAATTTACAGTTTGTACCTGGTTAAGTTGGGGGATTAAAATTGTCGACTCGCCGCTTTTTGAAGAGATGGAATCCAGATTCTCCACGACTGGGTGTCCTGCTTTATCCCCGTTCTGACTCTGGCTATTGGCCACATTAGTTAATGATGGCCCTCGTTGTTGTAACTTTAGGCTGCGTGCTCTGACCATGTGCTTGATCTCGATCCCCTCTTGACGTTTTCGACCTCGTTTTCTGGACGGCGTTACGAAACATCCGTCGTGTTCTTTTCGATCCCTTGTAGATACACGGGCATGGACAGGTAGAATCTCTGCTAAGCAATTCTTGGATGGCTAACGGTATTACAATTTGATTAAAATTGGTGCTGCGACCACTTAAGCATTAATCGGATACGGAAGTGACGTGATTGTCGTAAATGGTTGTACCAAAGTTAAGTTGCAGCAATATTAATTTGTACCTCTATTTACAAGAAGTATAAACGTACCAACAACAGTATGGCTTTTTGTCAATAAAATGAGATTATTTAATACGATAATAAAATAATCTGTCTTAAATGCATTGATTTTATCTAGATTTGACATTTTTTTAAATTTTTTTGTATGTAATTGCATTTAAAATAGTTCATAGTTACCATTTAACAATAAAATGATAAGGAATTATTGTTCCTTTTAGAAATTTATTCTTTTAAGTAAAACATTTGTTTGTTGACCGATGATTAATGTGGTCACATATTTGGTCATTACTTTTTCAGTGTTCTTTGAAATGACAATTTTTGTATATGTATATTTATATGTTATTTCAGAATTGCATGTACTTTCTGAAATAGAAAAGTTCTTTCAATTGCTTGAACAAAGACATTTCCCAATTTCATTTCATTTTCTTATTAGAATATGATTGTATTATATTTCTTTTCTGTAAATAAAATGTTTCTTGTAACTTTTATCCATGGATCTAAGAAATATTAACAAATAAAAATACATGTATTTTTTTGTACAAAAAACCCCAAACAAACAAACTAAAATTTCAGCCTTACTCTTCTTGATCTGTTTCATTAGACAATTATATTTTGCATTACTGAACAGCAAGTATAAGCCACTAACTGCCTTATTTGCAAGCAAAAATTTTTTTACATTTCTCTAAAAAATACCAGTAGAAATTATATGGGCCTAATTTAACTATATAACGTCTTCGATATATCTAAATGTTGAAGGCCACAGAAGTGAATAATGTGAGCTTGGACTTTTTTTGTGTAGGCTAGCTAATAGGGGTCGGGATCTTGTGATTTTGTTTTGCAAGCAAGGTCTTTGTTTCCTACTTTTGTAGGTATTTTATTGACTCACTTTACTTTTTTGAAAAAATATGCATTAGGACGACTACACAATGAGGTTTGCATAGGAAATAGAATGAAGAAGATGAAAATAACGAACAGTGATCGATCTTAAAAATAACTTTACAAACAATTCAATTCTGTGAACAAGGTATAAAACACGGACCCCTAGAAATTCCAGAGGTAAGATCAGATGCATAAGAGGAGTAAGTATTTCCTGTTGACTGGTGTCGTTGCCAGAAATTTAAAGCTTAAACATATTGAATGTTTGTTATTAATTCGGATTTAAAATTAAAGGAAGTACACGGTTTTATCATGAACTACCGGGTATTCATTTTCTGAAGCTTACACTTGAAAAACTTGTTTATTTCTGAAAGAAGGTAATCCTGCATTGTATGTTGAATTTTGTCCTGATCTAGAGAAAAAAAAGCAAATTCAGTCTAATACTAATAATTCAGTTCACATGAACCTGAATTGAGCCACATTTGCTATCCTTTTCTACAGCTGGTGAATAATAAAGAGTTTGTTTTTGAAAAGAGCAATTATTGGTATTAAAATATCAAATGTATTACCAGATATATTAACATTTTTAAATAACACAATTTCAGAATGAGGCAAAAAAGCATAGAAATATCCAACAGTTACACCTTATATAACAGAAACCTAGTATCTTTTATAATAGGATCAAGGGTCTTAACGACCATCTGATCATAATACAACACTGGAAAGTATCAATTGAAGTATAAAAGTAAGTTAACAAACAGATAAAGCTTTGTTGCCCAAAAGCAAGAGAAAAAGGATTATAAAGGATCATCTTGTACTCGGTAACAAATCTTGAAGTATCTACCTGCCTGATTTGCCCATATTTGTCTCTATCATCATGCAGACTAAACAAAGCAGTAATACTTGAATACTATAAGTAAACTTATCTCATTCTCTTTCAAATTGTCTTCTCTCGGTTTTTAAAGAAAATTTAATGTACAAAGATAAGGTATTTTTGTCTAATTTTTGTTTATTATTTACAGGTCTATCTGATCATAAACAACTATGAAAGGACTTTTTGTATTATATGTTAATAAAATTCTTGTATATTACTCTTATTCAATTTTTGCTTTTATTTTCATTTTATTTTTACTTTCTTTTACATTATATACAGCGATTAATCATAATCATACATTGTAGATGTATAGCAAAAGGGAATGACTTTTCTCAATAGAATACGAAATAGAACCCTCCTCAGCATTAAACACTTGATCAAATGATCCAGAATTCCACAAATCTGGAAAAAAAATGCTTATTACAACTCTGCACCCTGTTTCCCCCTTAGATGCCCAGGAGCATAGAGGATTTTCAAAGAAATAATGCATTTTTACAGTATACGAGGGGTGATCAAAAAGTTCGCGAACTAATTGCTTTACTTCCATAAAAGAAATAAAATTAGGTTTCAGTATGTATTACTTTTTAAAGTAGTCCCCTCCGGTTTCAATGCACATCTGCCACCGTTCTGCCCATGCGCGAAACACGTGGTCTAGGCGGTCACGTGACATGCTCTTCAGTGTTCTGTTCACAGCAGCAAGAAGAATTTTTCGATTCTTATAATTATTACCATGCAGGTTATTTTTTATAACAAGAATAGTCCATTTGTCACAAATGACCAAATCTTGGCAATAGGATGGGTGGATAGGGATATCATTCACCAGAATGAGCATGGTGACCAGCACAACCTGTGTCCTCTGTCTTGGATGCGTCGTTTTTTTAATGTGAATCAAGTATAGGCGCGTTCTCTTTATCATATCTGAAATGTTTAAAATGTAAAGTAAATGATATTTTAGGGATTTAATAATTATTTTATTGTTATGATATTGAACTACCTTTCTGACTGTAACTTCACCCCTCGTATATTAAACACAGCTCCATCCTAACACCAGAACTTTCTGTCTTTGTGGCCACAAGTTTCACAATTTTGGAAAGAAGCACCCTTGCTGATTAGAATTATGCACTCAGTTTATCTGCTAAATACACATGAGCAGAGAAGATGTTTTTCAAAAAAAAAAAAAAAATGCATTTTCACTATATAATCAATAGAGCCCAGTCCTAATACCGGAACCCCTGACCCAGGGAAATGAAATTCTTAATTTTGGAAGAGGCACACTTCCTCATCATAACTATGCATTTTGTTTATCTTGTAAAAATACCAGGAGCAGAGAAGATTTTCAAAGATATAATGCATTTTCACTATAAAATCAATAAAGTCATCCCCCTCCGCACAACACCAATACAGCTAACTCTATAGTCACAGGTTTGGGGTAGACACACTTTCACATCATAACCATGCATTCAGATGATCTTCTTGATATGGTGGAGTAGAGAAGATTTTCAAAGAATTTCAAAGATTTAATGCATGTTTACTATGTATTCAATAGAACCACATAACTTAACACTTAGTTTGCTTGCTTTAATTCGGGAGAAGAGAAGAAGGTTTTCAAAGAAATAATGCATTTTCACTATATAATCATTAACTTCCCCCAACTCCCCACCTTGGAGCCACACATTTCACAAGTTTGGAAGAGGCACCCTTGCTCATCATAACCATGCACCTAGATTATCTGCTTAACATATCGGTGAGAAAATTTGTTTTAAAAAGAATTTATGCATTTTACTACTTCATAACTGTCCCTGCCTAAACTCCAGAATCCCTTACCATGGGACCATGAGTTTCACAATTTAGGTAGAGGACTCAAAGCTTATTACAATATTATACGAACAGTTGGACTGTTTGGTGTTCAGGAGAAAGAAGATGATTTTCAAAGATAGCACTAAATTCAATGGTTTTAGCCCCACACCTCAGAACTTAGGTGGACGGCGACCATTAAATTAACATTTTTTGTACTCCTTGACTTAATGATGTTTTATGTCAAAATTGGTTAAAATCAGTTTAGTGGTTCAATAGAAGAATATAATATTGTTCATGGAAGAATTACCAAAGTTTCAAAGAGGACATTACAGGATTTTTTTTTTTATCGTTGTACTATTTGATCATTCAGATTCCTTCATTCAGAACAACATATGGACATACAATATGCACAGATCAAGAGATTTTCAGAATTCGACTATTATGAGAGCATGGATATGCATATACCGTATATAGTTCTACGTAAATTTATAAATATTTGGAGTTGGTATTTAAATTACGCTATATTTATGGAAATATATCTTTCCTGTGCCTATACTGTGTATATTTCATTGTGTTTTCTTTCTAGGTGAATTGCACTCTTTGAAGATCAAAACAATTAAAGGCCTTTTTAAAACTAAAGAATTTTGAAGGAAGATTGTCGTATATAGCGTGTTATGTGCAAGGAATACATGTTATTATGTAAGAATCATAAATAGTTTAAATGCCTAGTCCAGCTGACGCTTTAATCGGTTGCAATTGGTCACAGGAGGACAGGCTTTAACATAGTCACGCAATTTGGAAATGATCCTTTACAATGAAAAAAAAAAACTTGTCAAAGAAATTTTATAGTTAAGTCTGCTAATTTTACCAGATACGATATCAAAGTATCATTTCATCAAAAAGGTAAATAGCTATAGTATAGATAAATGCAAAAGTATTAAATTTCAGTGGTTGGAAATAATGTGGTTTCGCTTTTAGTGCAATTTCAGTTTTTGTTTTATCTTTATAATTCATAACAACTAAATTGTTGGTTTTTAAAAAGTACAATGAACTTCAGTTTTCAAACACTAACAAATTAAGCAGTATCTTTAAGCAATGTGATATTCTAATGAAAAGTTCACATCTTATGATCTCCGAATATCCTCTCCATTTTCTTCTTTTGCAAATACATGTATTTGCTCGTTTTGTTG